TGGGGTCAAATCGATACCAAAAACAAATAAATGAAAAGCATACATGACAATAAATGTCCATTGTTTTTTGGTAAAGACTGGAGGGAGCGATACGACCATACGGTCATCTAAGTCAGCTCCTACCAAATTCACTCTTATGCCTCGAATTCGCAGTTATCGGATGACTGTATTGTAGTATTAAACGAATTATATTATGAAAACATAAACAAGGATATATATGATGAACAAATAATTTGAACGATAGACTTCAATATGTTCAGGCATATCTTAAAGAAATTAGGTTTTACCCCTACTTCCACCTCTTTACAGTGGCCGCAATTTTCTATATATGCATTGAAAGATGACTCACAAGTCTTATTATATGTGTTTAATCATAAATATTAAATGCTATACACACTATAGATAAATAAATATTTGGAAAGGAGATTATGAAAAAAAAACAGTAACACGGTTGTCAGGTTATAACTGAATAGTCAATGGTTATATTAATAAATGTCATTTATAATTGTGTATCAGGATTTTACCATTTTTCAGCTCGACGAAACTTTTGCTTCGTCAAGTTCCCGTTCTCTATTTTGCTGTTATCTGTGTTTAATTATTATTTCTTGCAGCACGCTTTCGTGTGCAAATAGTTAACTCTGAGTATATTTTGGTGAGTTTACGAATGATGTAAGTTACTGACGAAACACCACGGCAGAGTGGGTGTACGGTTTGGTGATAGCACCACTCACCCATCCATAGATATTAGCACTAGAGACAATAATAATAATACTTAATAATAATAATTGTTCATTTATTTATGTATCACTATTACGAGACGAATAAACATACATACATACAGATGTACCTATACCACTTTTTTCGCCGATACCGATCCGATACCAGCTAAAAAAGCCGATGCCGATACGCCTATATATATATTCGAAAACGACCGATATTCCGATGCTATGTAATTATTACCCCAAGTGTGCAGGGCTAACGTTTTAAAACAATAGTCTTTGAGCATTATTAATAGTGCACATTATTTCGGTTTAAAAAAGAGAAATATTACACACATATATATATATATATATATTAAGCAGTGGATGTTTGGAATCCGAATGCGTTAATTGATTTAGATGCGTTGGGCAATGGCGCTAGTAATCTCGATGTTCAATCATAAAACTAATAGGATTTGGCTACTGTTGGTGGTAAAATAAATAAATATTTAGCCTACTTATCCTATGAAACTGATAGGGGGCCTACATTTGGTTACGTGCGCAAGATCTTGTGCCAATATAACGTCGTATTTTATATTTTACACATCGAAACATCCCCATTCGATTGATATATTTCTTCATAATTACCATGTAACATTAAAAATTTTAATATAAAAATTTGGCAGCGAATTTACTCAAATTGATTGAGCTAATTTGACTGATAAATGGCTAAAACAGGTCAGAATCCGATTCCCGTTTCTACTAGCGGGTGTGGGGACGTGCGCGGTTCTTAGTTTACGATCTATCCAAGCAAAAAATAATTTCAAGATCAGTATTCTAACCTATTTTCAAAACATTCTGGATCATATTGAGAAGCTAAATATATCGGAAATATCGGGTCCAAATTCAGCCGATACCGATACCGGAAATTTGGCCGATACCAATAACCGATACATCTCTAATTAGCACCCGCATGTAGATCGCACCCTCGGACATTTGCACCCTTTTTTCAAGTCTCTGGTGTTCCCCGCACATTGAATCAAACTACATCACTCCAGGTCTTTCCTACGATACCAGCACGGTTAAATCAGACCATAGCTCTACGCGGATTACTTGTCTATGTCACAAAATAAAAACGGCAAAACCAGACGTTTAGAAACCCTATCGAGAAGCCTATTATGGCATCGTGTAAAACTAATTCATGTGCTTATACTGGAATATACATTTTCTTTATTTACTCATTTACTAGAAAATGAAACAAGAAAGCATGCCCAAAATTAGAGCAACTTTTCTATCTGATTTCTATCCTTTGTATATTCAATAACACAAATGCAAGAAAGAAATTTTTTATGTAATATTACACAGCCATACACATAAAAATAAAAACACAGGTCTTTTTAAGATTAGGGTAAGGCTGTAAACCAAACTTCCTTTTCAAGTCAATATGGCATCAATATGAGTAATATCAATTGAAAGAGACCCATAGAACACGTACACATACATAATAAAAATCACAATTCAACAAAAAACAACTGTAAGAGAAATGAGCATCATTCAAGTAAATAGTACGCAATGCAAGAATATAGTTTACAGAAATAATACGATGCTTGCAAAAAATGGATGACAATAAAAAAAAGTTAGTTTAGTATTATATAAAGAGATTCATCACCAATATTATTATTTGCAAACAATTTTGAGCTTGGATAACCATATTAGTTGTAAATCGATAAAAATAACTATCACATGTAGTATAATATCCTAATATTGGAAATCTTCATTCATTATGTGTAAATTTGTTTCATTACACAGTTTGGCATTATAAAGGTTTCATCAGCTATGACATACACACATTTTTTCTGATCAGGTCTGGCATAAAATTATACAGGGTAGCACTTGAAAGAGAAAGAAGCACAAATGATAAAAACAAGGATGAAATTTGCAACTTTGATGTGATGAAACTGCAACAATAAGTTTTTCAAACGAGCATTGAATAACCAAAATCATAACACAACCACACAAATAGTGCTAACCTTAATACAAATAAATACTAATACGAAATATCAAGTTCAATACATTGTGTGATATAAAACAAAATAATGAGTCATTGTCATGGAAAAGCCTAGCATGTAGTGCTCTAATTTATATTATTGCAGCGGCGCATTTTTCCATATAACCTCCTTGTTCTAGAAGACAATCAAGATGGAACAAACAATACTTTTATACACAAAACTAAGGTGAACTTGGTTTATAACACCAGTCGAACATCCGTGATAGTTTTAAGCTATAAGTAATCTAGGGGCAGAAAGCCATTCAAATTTTACTCCTTACACGCTAGAACAGTTGAAACAGTTTTCCTACTCAATGAAAATCAAATAAGTTGCACCGAAAGAAAGTGGTTCTTGCAAAAATGCTGTTCGGATAAAATGATAAATAGATAGATTATAAAACACTATTGAAATGAGTCTATCGACAATGTGATGAAAATTGGGATATATGTATTACTTCGCAACTTAAACTAATCAATCCACTACGCATGCACATAAGAACTTAACTAAACTGATGAAGTTGTAGATTGATGGGACAAGTACACAACAATTTTTTGTTTAAGGCAATATTATGTGTATATGCATGAATCATTCCTAGAAATTATAATAGGATGAAGCTTTTGAACTTGGTCTCGTTCTTGGCAAGCTCTACTTTTTGAAGTGAATATTGCACTACATTAGCATTTAGAATGCAGTTACAAATAAAATGGATGAATAAACTATGGCAATATGAATGCTGGCATGCTACTCACTACAATAACACTATCCAAACAAAAAAACATTAAGGCAATATTATTCAATCTGGGCAAAAATGATTTAATATTTTTTATGTTTTAAAGTAATTATCATCAAGAAATTCATGGCACGATTTAAGATGATCGTAAGATAATATTATGGAATTACCAATGTCAGTCTATATAGATTGTACAGTCACTGAAAAGATATAACACTTCAATTCTTTTTAGCAGTTGGCAAGCATCAAGCAAACACTTTTGGCTATTTTCAATTACGAATATTATATTATAACACATATATATACCCAAGTAAGCATTGACTGTTTTTATGATAGTCACTGTGAACGACCAGAGGGTATAAAATAGCTGGGTGTAATGATTTCAGATTGAGAAAAATTGAGCAATCTGCATTCTAGCAATAAAAGTATTTCAACCAATAAAAAATCCTGGTAATTTAAACTGACAATATTGAATGAATAGCTAGCGGTATGACATGCAACTACTGAACTACATCATACAGAACTGATTATTAAAACTATAGTTTATGATCATCTAGTCATGAAAACTTGATGGCAATAAAAGGAAAAAAAAATGCTCCCCTAATTTATCTTTCCATATCACAAATAAGCAGCACTCATTCCCTAGCAAGCAAAATTTATAAGGAACACAGAATAAATTAACAATAAGTTAAGCAGTATGTTATAATTCTTGACAAAATATATCTCAGTAATCATATATTGCGAGGAGAACGAACTTAAGTCATGAATTTAAAAATAATATTAAATTGTTTGGCAAGCTATGGTCTTATAAAATTATTGCCTATTTAAATAAATCACATGCTATAGGCAAGAGCTATTAACACTAACAAAGCAAAGTAAGCAACATCTAAGACGAAAAATATATTATTTGGTAAATACCGAATATTATTAATGTTATCGATACAAATTTTTATGGTTTAAAGCGACATCTAAAAATTTGATTGCAAAGAGTACTAAGAACTAAAATTGATGATATTACTGAAAAGCGAGCAATCTTTATTCCATATAAGGTGGATGACACATAAAAGAGCATCAGGTATTTTAGATGATCCAAGCAGCTTTTGTCAAACTTTACATCACAATTCACAGCTATATTGCAAATTGGAATAGGATTGACTCTGCAAAGCAGTCATAATCGAAAATATAGCAATTTTGAGTCATTAGATTTGAAAAACATAGCACATTGAAATATTAAACAGCTATACGATTTTGGAATGATTGAATTGCGCAACAAACACAAGATGGATGATAATAATATTGAGACTTGTTTTTGCCTCACAATAGTTCAACTGCAATCAATGTACCAATTCTAAAATTTTGATTCTGGCGAAGCTAGCAAACATCTTAACGACTGGGCTCAAGACAAATTTGAGTTCTAGATAACACTAGCAGAATTTAAATTATTACTAATATATGATAAAAATGTAAAAATGTACTTGCAAAACAAAACAGACATTATAAACCTATGCTGACAATTACCAAAAGACATTGAGTTAGAAACCCATTATAAATAGTGGTCTAATCTTTGAACATTGTTTCGTCTCAAGTATAGTTTTAATAGTAATTCAAGGATGTGTGTCAAAATTTTGGACAAGACTAATAAATAATTTACTTCCAATGTCATGGTATGGATTGAAAATTTAGTTTCAAATTGTCTCGTGACAAAAATACTTTTATGATATATATTTTTTTAAAAATTATCAAAAAATTTGGGACAAAAATCAAATTTTACGATATTTTTCCGTCTCTGTCATGTATTAACTTATATATTTCAGAAATCCTTAGCAAAAATAATATTGATGGAATAAAATGCAATTAAGGCAATCAACGATAATTACAAATCGTGTCATATGCCACAGTAAAATTTTGATATTCCCAGTGCATTGTATAATTGCATTTTTCACTGTGCATTGCACAAATTAAATAAGTGAAATCACTAGGAATGACAAGTAAAGTATGAGAAATTCGAATCAAGATTCAGTAACCAAGAACGCTTTTGAAAATACAAGAGAATTTCAATTAACATTGATGAAGGTTAGTTTAGTTTTCCAATGAATGGGGTTATTTATTCACAATTGTTGCGAGCACCTGCTAGGTTGTCAAAACTTCATGCCTAAGTCGTAGAAAAAAATTTAAAAAATATCGCAGGTGTAATTTAAGATTGCTACTAGTTACAGCATTCATTCTACATCTAGGGTTCCTACGGAGAGAAATTTATATCTATTCAAACTGTTTGGTGATTTAAAATTCTGCTTTTCGACTGATTTTAATTTCAAATTTATTATATAGATCTATGTTATAGCAAAATCATTGTAAGTACTATATATTAGGACTGGGCATTTTTAATCGAATAGTTAATTATTCAAATCGTTTCCGATTAAAATGTTGAAGTGAATCTCCCAATTTTATTTTAGAGGCATGTTTTGTAAAATAAAATTCTGACATTTGACTCTTTTCTTCTAGGGAGCTATTGATAAAATATATTTGTTATTGCGTGTGAATACTCAGCGAACTATCTGGATGATGGATTCTAAGTTTTCAGTAATTTGTGTGTCCGCAGGACACATTATAATAAAAATGAGACATACATTTACATATATTTCAAGTATTCGAGATTCGAATCTAAAAATAATCGGGTATTTGAAAATGCCCAGCCCTGCTATGTATTAATTGAATAAAATAATGATTATTTATCTCAAAATTTTCTTAGAAATAAATCAATTTTCAGGCTAATGATTTCGAATTCAATTTTAACGAATCTTTTCACAACCCAAATTTTAAATCAAGATTAATATAGAGAAAATAAACCACAATTTCAGAATCAGATTTGGAAACATTGAATTTTATACATGTTGGTTCAAACCTCCATTAGAAAAAAAAATCATAACAATTTGAGGACAATGAAAAATTTAGAAACTATGAACATTGAAAAGTAAAATAAACTTAGAAGAAAAAAAATATGTCATGTCATGTTATGTGAGCACACAGTCATGTGTATTACGTGTCATGCAATCTCGTGTAACACTTTCCAACTTGATAATAAAAGTATGATTCAACATTAAACTCCTTTGATTGGCGATCGCCTTATTGTGACGTGCTTCAACCTTCTTGGCCATGGTAAGGGCCATTCATATTTCCGGGGTAGTTTTCCACCGCCCCATACGTTGCCTTCAAAATATTTAAAAATTGGAAACCACCAAACACCAGAAAGAAAGTTTGATTTCGTTGATGTCTTCAGAGACTGAAAAACAATTCCAGGAAGCGTTAGAGATATGAAAACAAGAACAAAACAAAATCACGCACAGTTTATTAAGAAGCGCAAGCTTGATAGTAATATTAACTGAGTAAATAAATGATAGAAGAGAAAATGCGGCTCTGGGACCTGTTACTGTCATATAAAAAAAAGGAGTTAATTTAATTTCTACCTTTGAAAATAAAAGCAATATTTGAGTACGGCAATTGATAAATACAAAAACCCATAAACATACAGAAAAATCTAATAAAATTTTGATAGCAGGTATAAAGAGACATCACTCCAAACCACATCACAAATGTTTCGAAAAATTTACAATAAATTCCCAGAACTAATGAAAACTAAGAATGTCCAAATAAAACAGTATAAACAAAACAGAATTAGGTTATTTCAAACAGATTTTAAAAATTCCATTTTGTTATTTAACGTTAAAACCAGTAGCTCAATTTAAATGAGATTAAATAAAAATTAACTGCATAATAGAATCTTAGATTACATTGTTATTGGAGACCGAGACTAAAACTAAACACAAGAAAATATATTACACGATCAATATCCACCATAAATTCAATTTCAATCGTAATTTGTACACCCTTGTCTGCTAGAAACAATTTGCACAAAGGTAATACCAATTTACCACATTCATCTTTCACAGCAAACTAAGATGTGTTTCAAATTATCCGATTTCACCTTCGAAAATCACAACAAATATATAAAATAGAACATGACTATTTTTTTATATTGTGGGATTATATTGTAACAACTTGTTTGGCAGTGTTGACATGTCTTGCGTCCCTTATCCACCAACTATATAGCCCTCAATGCATCAATGATAACTTGCAAATTTCTATCATTATACTTTATACCTTAATTCGAGCAAACTTATGCAAAAAAAGAGATATATCATAAAAAAGCTTACCAATGTGCATGCCATTGTGTGATAAGTCCAGAACAATCTAGTTGCAATGAGATATGCAACAACAATATCGATTGTATAATGATCATGAGCAAGCAGGATGCATATTATACCGGTAACAGCAAGAATCCATGACACCCAATGAAGAAGCCAAAACCGTCTTGGAGTGTCTAAAAAGAGAAATAGATATAAAAAATCAAACCCATTACAAAAAAAACTATTTGTAGGCATTTGTCTATATATACCTAGTTATGGATTTATGGGTCGTATTCATACATATCACAACACAATGCCAAGATTTTCTAAAATTTTTCTAAAAATAACTAAGAATAAATTCAATTTGCTGAAAAGATTGACTATATCTAACCCCGAGATGAATACCATTCGAGGTTGGTTACTAAATAGCTACTAACTTCTTAATCTTAATACAATACAGCAATACCCTGCAAGAAATAAATGGCAAGCAATCCTAACCCCAAACGACCGACCATTCTCACAAAACGATGGAGATGTTTCTGATAAATAGCGCACACCCTTCAAAATTCAATTAAGGATAATTGATAATCGAAATTAAAATCTTACATTCTTCAATAAACATGTACATGATGACCAATATAACAGTATGACCACTGAATAAATAATCTCCACATAAATGATGTGATCCAGTAACTGATAATCCTCCACCACATAACAGCATCACTGCGCGATACACCATTGTGCTGATTTTACCATGTACCTAGAAAAAACATAGGATTTTTAAATGCCATCCATTAGATATTAGCGATAACCAAACGAATCGAATATTCATATTTATTCGGAATTAATCACATTGAATAATTAAGAATATTGTATTACGTAGGTATCGTATATCCTCATAATAATCAGAATTTAAAACTAAAAAAAAAAGTTGCCAAAGGGGCCGGCTTATACGCTCATAACTCTGACCACACTAAAAATTTGGCTTGTACGCGCATAACGTGATAGCTGCGCACGACGTGTTACGATTTGTAGGGCCAGATAATATGCAAATTTTTATAAATTCACTTATAAGCGAGATCCACTTATATGCAAAGGTATACGGAATCAGAATTTCAGAATATTAGCATTTTGAGCAATTGTCTTACAATACGACACAAAATGCCTCTATTTAATGTCTGAAAAATGTGAAAAGCATGGAACCAATCAAATCACTGTTTATCTCAACCTTTTGCATTACCAAATTCGAACTCATTTTATATGGATTGACTTTTGAACATAACTGAGTTTAAAATATACTCGATAAGCCATATTCGAAAATAATATTTAGAATGTATTTGAATTAATAAATTGTTGTGTTTTGGCCATCCCTGAATTAGATATATTTAAAAACCAAAATTTTCTAAAATACAAATTTCGAAATGAAATAAAAATTACAGCGAAGTAAAGTCAACATAAATAAATAACAAAATCTGTATTGTAGGTGAAAAAAAGAAGACTAAAATAAGGAAAATCGGAATAAAATTATGGCCTAACCTTAACCTGGTACACATACTACGGGAGTACCAAAATGTCATCATATCAAATTAAGCATAACTTAATTATTAATTTTTGCATAGGAGAAATTAGGTCTCGTCAACATGTACATCAGTAACCTTTATATTACAAGAAGACAAACAAATCAAGAGTTCACATAATTATAACAGACAATTATTTCGCAATCAACAACCCACAGCAGTTCACAATGAGTCATTCACACCGTTCAAGTAATTATTCATATATTGCATGCACCTTGGACTGAAGAGTAAGGTGAATAAACCCCAATAAACCTTTTTAAACTACCAAGCATGATCATAGAAGAAAGAGTTAATATGCATATACAGATCAAATTTATTTACAAGTTGAGTAAACAGCATTTTTAGCAATATGGATGAATGTTCTATATCAAGTATTATCAACTATCAAGTATGGTGTCGTGTATATATAGATTATACCAATGATGACTTAACTTTTCTATTGTTGAAGTTTCATGAAAGTGTTCATATTACCTTACCAGAGCCTGGGCAAAGTTCATAAAATGCCGGTATTTTAACCTTAATCAATCATAATGCATTTCTTGGCCAACATATTTGCGAGACAAAATCAAACTGTCGCATTAAGCACACAGACATGAAATCTATGCTTGCACATTTTATTTTGTAATTTATGATGTAACTCAGCACAGAGCAACAATCAATAGTTTTTAATGATGTTTAAAATAAGGCATGATTTAAAATTAATGCATGATTTTTTGGCAAAAGAGTTTAATATGGGCTGGCACGAGAGGATATAAATTGTGATGATTATTACAAATACAACACTCCATATGCATTCCAAAACTTTAATTAAAGGTTTATATTATAATTGCGAAACAAGAATGTAGGAACATCTTGCAAAATGATCTCTTAAAAATATAATTTTCATTTTTAAACTTGCTCAACTCCAACTCAATGGGATAATAGGAGTGATCCTGTAATTGAATTTTATTCCAAAATTTGGAATATATGGTATGTTACTGGTAATAAACGTAACAGAACAAAATTGCCAATTTGTGGTTGAAATATTTTGTTAAATGTTTTCTGTATCTTATAGAAGAACATTTTTGCGAATGCTGCAAGAATAAACAGAAATTATTAATGTGACCACGTTTTGAACATAATATGTCTATTTCTGCATCTGTATAGGGTGACCAAAAAAACAAACTCAGGTCTTTTGAAACGTATAATAAAGATAAGGTAACTTACTGGTACAATCATACATAACACGAGTGAAGTGCTAAATAAATTTTCCATTTTGTAAAAATAATTGAGAAACTTATGGTTCTGTTGTTGGGGTCATCCTATACTTACTATATAATTTCATGTCTAACAGTATTCAAGAGTATCATAATTATATCTTTTAAATTTCACGACAAAGCTATAATAATATGAATTGTGTCGCAGACTTTTGTTAATTTCAATGAACATTATCCATTTTCAAATATTCCACAATAAGAGTGATCACGAACAACCAATCTTCAATTTTTTAAGCCGTGCCCCCTTTTTAAAATTTGCCAAGAATCGCGCCCACCTAAAAAATTTACTACCGTAGCTAACAATAAGCTACAAATAACAGACAATACGGCGAAAGTTTTATTCAAAAAACATGTTGAAAATACATGGATGGAACGTAAATATCCAAATAAAGAAATATAGATATACAAAATGAGGCGGGCAAGATTAAATCCAACTAATATTTTTATTTTTAATTAGCTTGAAGTCCCCTCAAAAATTTGTCTACGCCCCCACCGTTTTTGTGAACCGCTGCTTAGGGCATACAAACACATAACTTTATAACAAAATTATTATCACCAGTTATGGCACTAATTGCTAAATGTGGCGCCCTATTCACAGTGGCAAATACCACACTATTCTGATTCTGATGATTGTGAAGTTAAGCTCCACCAACCAACATTAGTGTGCGAAATAGCAAGTATATTTAAATAAAGACTACAAACGATGGCATTTGACCCTGGATTATTATAATGTACAAAAAGTAAATTTAAAAAAGTACTGTAGTTGGACGAAAGTTGAACTTGTATTGGTAAAGACTTTCATGTAGAACCATGATGAATTATCATGTATGAATCAAGTTTTGATGGTATATTTTATGCTTGGGCCATGCTAAAACATGTACATAGCATACATAAATATATTCCTAACAAGTAAAGTGAAAATGATTACCTTGGGTGCACATCTAAAATGCAGTCCAGGAACAGGTAACGTCGTAACATACATTGTCATGGCTCGATAAATATATAATGTTCCGAGTATAAAGAATATCCTTCTCACCACAATAAATCTGTTATAAAGAAGGAAACATTCCATAAAGATAAGACAGAAATATACTCCATATTAACGCCTTTCCTATGAAAAAGGCTCAGTACAAGCAGTCAATGTTGGAGAGAAGCTACTCCAGCTTGAGAAGGGCTGGAATCTTTCGTGTCCGGCACTGCCTAGCCAGTTTATTACACACTGGTTATTAAGGTGGTGGGCATGGGATTTGGCCACCAGACTCGGTAATTATATTTCCTACATTAATAGAAACTTTCATATTAAATTTTGATTTTAAATAATAAAAAGAAAACTAAATTGCGAATTTGTGATAAAATCAACATATACCGGTATCACTTTCATATCTTAACCAAGAAAATTTGACTTAAAAATAGGTTTTGACTTTGAAAAAGTAAATTTTGCATTAATAAAGTTCAATTATATGAATGCAACATTAAAAATACTTTTATGAAAGGAATTAATTATGATATAGTTTTACGCTTAATTTACCGAATTGAATCACTTTTTTGGTGACAACGGACAATAGTATTAGAAACGCTCTAATTGGCATGAAAGGATTTTCCACGAGGTGCTAAAACTGTCACCTAATAGCATTGTAATATCAGGAGATAACATTGAAAACAGCTGGAGTGCTCACTTATTGATTAATTAATTAGAAGGGTGATTTGATGATAATTGAACATATGTGACATCATTAATTTTGCATTGATGAGGTATAACCAACAGATTGTAGCCTACATACTACATCGGGATGGCCCAAATTTACAATCATGAATACATTTTGAAGTAATATGGGCACGTTGACATAATGGGAAAAGCGTTAGACTTAACTATGATGGCATCGCAGGTTGAAATCCTCCATCTCACCCAGGGTGTACTAATTTGGGTAGACAAAATGCAAAAAAATCATGAAATTATATAACTAGGTTCGACCAATTTCGAAATCTGATGAGATCATTGAAAATTAACAGTTTCTGATGTAAAATTTAGCTATCTCGGGATTTTGTTTACAATCATGATTCATGAATGATATGTTTTCATTGTGAAGCAGAGCTGATCAAAAAATAACAATACAATGATGTTTACCTAACTGATTCAGAAATTCTGACTTTCATAAATTAAAGTTATAAACACAGCAAGATCGCACATATAATATGTGTAAAGTAGATTATGATGCATATCATATTTCAAGCAGATATGTCCTATGGCTACCCTACTTTTATTTTTGATGTATCAATGAAAGTATCAAATTTTCGTTGTCTTTGAACTAATAAAAATTAATTTGCATAGTAGGAGTGACTAAGGAATTTATTAAAGAAATTCAAAATCCATGTAACTCTGATTTTTGGACAAAAACTATGACAAGTTGACAGACAAAATGCATGCCTTACCTGTGTTTGTGAAAAAACAGCATTAACACTGTCAAACCAACAAGTATCATTCCATTTATTTCACAAACATCGAACGCCCATTCTATACGTTTTGGCACCAAATCGAACGCAATATCAGGCAAAGGTGGATCTTCTTCCATTGATGGAACTCGTTCATGAACGACTTGCAACATCCCAACTGCGACTATAAAACCTGAAACAAATGGTGTTCCTAATTCATCAAAAAATCCCATATTTACAATCAGGTACATAAGAGACAGGTAGTAATAATGGTGAACAATGGTCTATGAAACATCCGCATCAGCTTTATAACTTCCTGTCAAGGAAAGGGTTCACCAAGATAGTACTTCCGTTCATCGACTCAATTATTTGTCAACAAAGTCTGAATACAGTAGATCATCCCATCAATGAGAACAAGGATTGTTATATGACATAAATAGACTAACAAATGAAACAATACCATACTTTATTAAAAGCCATGAATAATATTGTTCTAGATGCTTATACCATGGTTAATTGAAAACTACAATAAGAATGATAACAATAATAATAATCTAATAAGAATAAGTTGTCTTGTCAGTACTATCTCTGTACTTCTATGGCACTATTATTTTAGTCAGCTTCTTTTGGCTGTGAAAGAAGCATGTTTTCAAAATAAGTTATATTCTAGAGAAAAATTCTATTTCAAATTTGCTCTTCTTCAGAATTCTTTCCAACCGTGGAGACAGAAATTCAGAAAATATTTGGGAAGCTGTTAGCCTCACTTTCTGTCCACAAATGCGTTTAAAATGGAACAAGTCTATATTCCCCAATTTGGTATTAAAAATGTCCTCATGTCTAGTCAAGTAGTCAACTTAAGATAATGGATGATGGAACTGTTAGAATAATATTTGATAGTGAGCCATGCCCAAGGTTGGCTTTTCTCTATAAATACTATTATTACTCTTGGTATTCAAGCTTACCAAGGAATAGATAAATTAAGGAGACCAATGTCTTAATTTTTTCAACTGGATAATGATCAACGCCTTGTGACAGCAACGATTCTGATGAATTGAATGAGGACGATTCATTATCACCTGGAAACAAAAAAATAAAAATAAGTAAACAATATGTTGAATGTTTTTAAGGAAATTTGTTCAAAGTGAGGCCATGCCTACTCACTCGGAAATTAATAAGGAGATTGATTGATGAGGGATCTACAGGCAACCACTAAAATGCCAACAGCTACTGAGACTATAGTATAGAATTGTGAGTAAATACTGATTGACACAAGACTTAAAAGCAGTTCCTCGTGTCAATAGGATCACAAAAAAGCTTCGAGGTAGTGAAATCAACATAACTGAAGTTCTTGGGAAAAAACAAAAAACTTCTTTATTTCTGAGCAAGTCTGAGTGAACTTGCTTTGAGCAAATTTCCTTGAAAAAATTACAGATTTAAAGTGATATATACACTGACAGAATATGCCAAGATAAACCCATCCAAATTGTGTATTTGTTAATCACAACGTGTAGGAATAGAATAAATTTGTGCAGTTATGCTGTGCACCAGTTGGTATTTGATTGGAAAACTGTTGAATTTTACTAAGAAAATCAGCTATCCAATCCTAGCCTATTAGTGAGAAAATTAATAGGAAATAATACATAATCAGGCTGCAAATGCAGGATACAAAAAACTTTTTTAGAAAGGTTTGACCTCAATTCGTTAAGTTTGTTTGTTACTGAATTCCCTAAGGTATAGGTTCATGCCTAAAATATAATATAACTCTATGGACATGAAGAGTGCAGTGCAATGGGTAATTACAATTTTCAGAACCAGTCTAATCAATACTGATTAATAACTTTTAATGTCTACATGTTGGTAATGCTATTAAATATTTGTAAATTGTATAAAGCTGAAACACACAAAGAATGAAGTACAGTATAGTTGGTTTTATAGGCCAGTATTGTAAAATGAATTCAATGAGCTGTAGTCACGAACTATTTTAGAATATAAATCAACAATATTCCAAATCAATTTGTCAATGTCAGTGATGTTGCAATTCGTTCATATTCGCAAGTACCAATTCGAGAAATACTGTGAATTTAGACTTGACCTAAAGGTTTTTCAAGCCGAGCCCTCAGACATTAATAATTTAAAGTAAATTGACAGAGATTTGCTTAATTCTTTAACCATAATGCAATTTTTTCAGTATATTTGCTTGTTGTCTTTTTGTTATTGAAATATGGCCAATAAATGGATGGGAACCTGTAAAAAACTGCTTTTTTAAGAGTATGGCTCGTTGAGAGTCTTCGGGAATGGGCCACAAATCAATAATAATATTAGTGGGCTAATACAAAAAAAAACTGTTTTATTCAAGTTTTCATATTTATTTTTCTGATAATACATTTTATTAATAATTTCTCATTCGTACACTTCGAAGCACGCACAAAATTGACATCAGATGAGTAGATTAAAATATAATATGAAATTCAAAAAAATAAAATTTAAACATTCCATTACTCACCGTCCATTAGATGATAACTATGTTTCTTAACATATTTTCTAAATAATAATATAATACCACAATATGGAAATTTCAGTATTGATAATAGTATGTGGTTTTCTCTATCCTCAGCAAAAAAAACTTCTCATTGTTTAGTCAAGGTAAAGTATGTGCTGAATTTGGATGAGAATACTCCCGCATCGTATTAGTTTGTGGAATGATATTCAAATTTCCCTGTTTCCTGCTATTTTTAGATTGTAGCAATTCAAGCAGAAAATGTATAATTTGCATAAAGTGGACTACAAGTAACAAGTATGATAATGATGATGTTAAATAAGTCACACAACCAATACACTTCAATACTATCCAACAAGAACAGTTTTTATTAGAATATTTTTGACGGAGAAGTTAATGTTCGACCCGATTCGGGCTTATTCCATAAGTATTTAGGTTGGCTACGTACAAAAAAGTCGGTGCTCCCGAAGTATGCGAACCAAGATGGCGGACCTCGGAACGTAACATGGGTAACAGGTTAGGGTTAGGCGATAATTTTTTTCCAATTTTCCTTATTTTAGTCCTATTATTAGTTCGAAGACTAGCCAAGAGCATCCCGTAGTATCCATACCTAAAATTATGGCCTAACCCTAACCTAGTACACATGTTACATTGCGATGTCCGCCATCTTGGTTCGCATACTTCGGGAGCCCCAAAAAGTCTATTATAAACAGAATACTATTTATTGTATATAGGTAGTTAAAAGATCAAAGTAAAAGTGAGAAAGAATAAAAGGTATTCAACCATAATGGTGATTTTCTTATAATCTCATATTAAAAGATACAAATATAACCACAGTAACACATTCTACAATAAGTAACACAGACCTAGAAATTCCTGATACACTATAATATACTTACACTTATCAATGACTATGGATGTAACATTGTCAGAAGATTTAGACTTTGAACTTTCTTTATGTTTAATTTTAACTAGAACATTTCTCACTGGCATTGGATTCATCTCAATTTCTTCATCATCAGATAACAAACGCTTGGAAGACATGACGGCAGTAACAATATTTTTATTACTGGTAAATGATATCTATATTCAAATGCAATTGAATGAGTTTTACACTACCCTGTATATCCAACAATGAAGAAAATATTTGATGCTTTCAAGTTTCAACTTTTAATATACTTCGTTATGAAGGATATGAATTTAGACTGTTTTTACGTCTGATGCTTTTGATTCCATAAAAATAGAGATACTTCAATTAAATACTTCAATTAAATTTATATATACCGGTACCTTTTTTAATCACAACTGAATACCAGTTTTCTGAGAATATGGAAAATTGGACAATATGATGTCTTAGTAAAATATGAAAGATATACTGATGAGTGATGACAGCTAAATGTTACATAACCTCACACCGTAAGCTATTGCTAAACTGTAGGACATACCCTACTTTAGAAGGCTGGGCTATTTTACTGCCTGCTTCGAACGTTCAAAATATGAGTGTCCGGTTGCTCGGTATTAAAATAGAATAACTATAAAGTTATGCACAACCCTATTCATAAAATTGAATTATGAGAATCCCTACCAATAAAATCGCGGCATAAATCTGGGTAAATGTCAGCAAAAGAATATTAATATAAAATAAATAAATTTCAATGCAGAGTTGAACCATATAGGCTACATGATTAATATCATATAATGGCCAAACCTGTTACCAACATGAAAATAATAAATTAGCGGGTTCATATACGGTTTCAACTTGATCTGTATATGTTTGAAATTCCATGTTTATTGTCGGAGAAGAAAAGTAAAACGAATTCATAAATTTTTATATGCATTATACAGTGTAATAAAATTCTGCTTCGTATAAACTACAATAAAGGGAAATCCAATTTTATTTATGAAACAGGAACACTATTGAATTGTACAATGAATTCCCCTGTAAATAGTAACAGTTCAATGTTGTATGCCTGATAAAACCATCAAACTATGTTTAACGAAACATCAATTACTCCCAGTCAGGAAATGACTGGTGAAATTCTATCTGCATGAATAGGAAAATTTTAGAAGGGATAAGTCATAACACATAAAGTATAGTCACCAAGTTGGATAATACATATTTTGAATTTGTCAAACGCCAAACACAACCAACCCTTGAAGACATATATCTAAGGGCATGTCCATATCATAAATGCAAAAAAAACTTAATAAGGTATTAATGACTAAGGTAATTACCTAAATATTTCACTTCATAGTAAGAATAATATATAATATAATTTAGTAGTTTTGAGTTGTGTAATAATGAACTTGATAATGGAATGTTAGGTAAATGAATAGGTCAAGTTAGTAAAAAGATCTCCAAGGTTGATATCACCAGAACAATTAGTCATACGCCACGGAATCGTAAATATCTTTCGTCACTTAAAATGCTTCACAGATAATAACATACTTTTCAAGTATTCAACTAAAAATTAGTCATCAGAGAACATTCCATTTTTCAGCATTAGGTTAAAGCATGAATAATTATGAATCATCAATACTGGATTGGATTTTGTCTGATCTAATAACCATCTAAAATCTCATTTTTATTATGAGGCTCACAACTCGAAAGCCACTAATTTTATGTAAAAACTTACTAACACTATGATACTATCCTCCTATACTCCTACATTGCACTCGAAATTGTCTCACATTTTCCAAATAAGTTGAAGCTTGATGCCAACAACAACACTCAAAACAGAGTCGCAACTAGCAATATTCCAATATCCTGTATACCTAGCGTTGGTGACGAGCCAGACAGTCAGTCACGGCATAATCGGAAGATCTTTCTCAAATTTATTGGATAACTACCGTCTGGAAGCCACATTGCCTGGATTTCTGATAATGTTAAAGACATAGGGAAGGAGAAAAACAAGCATCATGAAATATTGATAAGTGGAAAATTTTTGCGAAATGCGGGTATTGGTGAAAAACTGAAAAACACCAATTGTCTCATATGCAAGAATATCAGCTGGATTGGGAATGTCTACATGTAAAAGATTAATCCTCTACTCAGTTTGAAAATTCTATTAAACGATTTGTTATGAAATTCACGATCATATAGCCTACACTATATTATATTTTACATAGTGCTTGACACATACTACTCCACAATTATCTTCCACCAATTAATATATCACAATGAAAAAAACTGAACAGACATACCTAGGTAGTATGATCATGTTACTAAGATATGTTATAAAAATAATAGTTTATAAATAGTTTAGAACTATTGAAACTTAACTTATAAATAGAGATAATCTTTCCATAGAAAAGCTTTTTTTGTGTTATGTTGTCATATCATGACACAGTGTATACAAAGCATTATTATGATTAATACTTTATTTCAGATTTGTTTTGAGAGACAGATAACCTTCATAATGACAAAATGAACTCAAATTGAGAGAGATGCAAAAAATGAGGGCCGAAGTGCCAAATCAATATGCTATGTTATATGATTATATCTATGCAGTTGAATGCATTGGGACATAAGAAGGATATGACAAAAATGTATTGATTATTGATTCTATTTACTACTGAAACAATTATATGTGACAATAAAAATTTACTATTGGTTAAATATACTGTGACAAGGATAGATAATTTCTCTTGGTAAAAAATATCTGCAATATGTGTAGTGTGTACAAAGTCTATCAATAAATTGAATTTAGGTTGAATTTTCTAATCTTTTTATTTCAGGTATTTGAAGCTATATTTCTGAGACAGTAAAGTTATATTTAATTCAGTGCCATTTTATAAATTTATTTTAAAACATCCTTTTTTACTCTCCAGGGAAATATAATCCATCATCTTATATGAGACTCAATGAGAGAAATACAGATTATAATATTAACCGTGTACGAACTACCAAATTTCAAATCGTCACAGAATGGCTTGCAATCAGTTCGTTGAGCAAACAAAAAATGTTTGCACAGTCTACTGGCGTAATGTGAACCTTTCTGATAGGGAAAAAGTCCTATACCTTACATAACATTCGGTCCCAGTGTGTTTGTAATTAACGTAATGAATTAATGTTTGTCAAGATACATATTATCACAGTATGATGCAAGATGCAGGCTTGTCATAAATTGCAATGTGTGACAGAATAAATGGTACACACAGCTGTGAACAATTTCAAGGATTTAGTCAAAAAAGTATAAAAAAAATGTGTAAAATTATATGATTTTGAAGAACATTTTAACTTCAGAAGTAGTACAAGCTACTAGAAATAATCAACTTATCTATTTTGTACAAGGAAATGGACTACAAGTGATTGCATTTTCATTTTCTTATACCAAAAATGTGAAATGAGAATGTACGATATTTTACTACCTCCAAATCATGTGGTTAAAAACTATGCTGGTTAATCATATTGGCGCAATATTAAGTAATAATTTAGCAGCTATTTTAAGGGCATCTTAATAACGAAAATACACAGAAGCAACCAAAACTAAGTAGCTGAGTTACCATTTAATAAGTATATTATACAATTTCAATAATGATAAAACAATCAATCAAAGATTTATAATAACTTAGAATTGGTTAGTATTGAAAAATGGCTCATATTCGAAAAATAGTCCAAATGTCATGTATATAATATGAGTAAACTACCTGATATGAGAGGCATCTTTACACTGACGAAATGATTCTCTGAACCATTAGCATCATAAGAATGCCGATAGCCATTAATATGTCCCGAATGTCCATTTGAAGCAACTCCGTTCCCTACTCCCTGCGAATAGTGGAATAGTATGGTTAATCAAAACTTTGGCAAATTTATTTATAAACTAATTTAAATACTTTAGCTCACACTTCTATAGAATGCCAACCGCATAATTCCTCTTTCAGCCAGAGTCTAATTCACAAATAAATATGTGGGAAATACACCATAATCCCACTTAAGATCATGGATTAGGAAATTCAAGAAGGTTTAGATTGTTGAAAATGGCTCGATTTCTGTTGTATTAGTACCATACCGCGAGGGGAATTATGAAATCATTTATACCAGTAATGAGGAGCATTTCTGAGCGAGTTCTACGTTTTGTGTTAAAAGTATCGACCGATTTAATAGTTCACCGAACAAGAAATAGACCGTAGAGCCGGCTCCTTTCCATAACGACAAGAGGCATATCTGATGTGAAAACTGAAGAGCAGCATTGCTTGATAGTGAAGTTACTACTTATGAATAATGGTGATATTATGAATGCAATCGTGCTCTGAAACCCTATATTCTTACTTGATTTTCCAATTTCTGCATACATCTACGTAGTTGCTCTTTACGTAAAGATTCGATACATATAAGAAGATGGTCAATCTCACTTCCATCGGTCATAGAAAATGGGGGACTCTGGAGATCTTCTTCAGCCAATGTTAATAATCTGGCTCCATTGACTCCAGGTGGAGTTTTTACCAACATCTGTCATTTATAAAATATTTATTTTAAATGGAGATAAATAACTGTATTCATCAAACTTGGCCTGTACTTGAAAAAATGAATTTTATAATGTAGTTGTATTGATTCTAAAGTAGGAAACTACACACCACGCACATATCCTAATTCTATCAGTATTTGCATGTATAATTCACCTATGAAGAAACTGATTTACATTATTAAAACAACCATGAATAAATTGATGTGTGGATGTTGTGTATCATCATAATAAAGTCTAAGAAAATTAATCTAATACTACTTCAGTTGAAATAATTCAGTAATGGACAATGCATGACTCATAATGTATTTGTTGATATTGGGAAGCATACCAGACATTAAGTCATTTTAAAACCTGTAAAAGTCTACTTTTTGCACTGGTGTTGGAACTGGAAGCAAAAACAGGTAAAACTTAGTAAAACGAGGTTTTATTTAGGTAATAATGGCAAATCAAGAATCCATTACCAAAAGATATAGCAGGCAAGACACGGCATTATTGAATACAATAATTGTTTGATGTATGTCATTCATTAAAAAATAAAATAAAAGAAGATAAGCTCAAGCTAACGAATGAGGGTTTCACATTTATTTATTTATGAAAAAACAAAACCAAACCTGGAAATCATGATATCCATTTTCCCGAAACCATTCTGCTACCGTATCGGGTGACCATTTAGAAATATCATCATAACTGTCCCCATCCTCAAATCCCATTCCTCAGCCCAAACAAATGGAATGTACTGAAATTTAAATGGAAATATTAAGTTATAGTAGTAGATAGTAGATTATATACAAACGTTATTGAACTAAAATAATAATTCAAACAGAAGGAAATATTATCCTTAAATTTTTGAGATAAAGCACAACAAAGTTCACACATATTTATAATATTTTGTGAAGTGAAGCTGATATCATATGCTTTTCTACAGAACTATAATAAAATTTAGATAATAGAAAATCCATTTCATTGTAGAGTGGTAGATGCACTTCACTATGCACTCATGATGTAATCCTGAATATATCTTTACGTCATCCACTTGAAATCTCATTGTACTGCTTTCATATGAAGTTCAAGTGTGTTTTATCTCATTAACAATATAGATTAAAATGGCAAAAATGTTAGAAGGTAGCAGCACGCCTTATCACATGTTTTGGCCGCTTTTCCCCCCAAAAAATTCAATAGTTCAATTGTTTGATATTTAGGATCGGAGACAATCTCAAATTTTTCTATTCATGTATGTTTGATAATTGCTTCAAAATGTAACAGCAACTGCATAATAAATAAAAAATATTATAAAGGCGGGATAAATGATCAAAACCTTGCTACCAACGTCACAGTTATGCTGCATATAGTTCGCCCTCCTCAATATAATGGCAATACTAGGAGAATATACACAAAATAATGGAAATATACAAGTACAGAAGCAAAACTGGGATTTAACAATTCAACAAGTCAATTCTGATTAACATTCATTATCTTCCTACAGTTCTACTCTGGTATATTATTCCCCAATAGTTAGCCTAAAATTAATCAACAATGTCAGAATATGGTAAGATAAATAAAAAGCCATTCTCACCAAAACAGTTTATTTTTCAGTCTTTTATATGTCACCAGTCCTTAAAAAAGATAAGATCCACTGTTTGGCTTTTATGACTGTACACAAGTCTTGAATGATATTTCCCTTAATTCAGTAATTTTCACCCACGGTAGCTTCTGAGCTTTCAGTAAATTTGATCTCCAGATCCCACTAAAAATAATCTGCCTCGCGCTTATGAAGACGCTTCGGTCCAAACAGCTAAGTAGATACGAACGACTAAGTGATCGATCGACAACGCGCAGATACAGCAACAGCAACTTAGCGAATGTACATTCCGCAGATAATTCTTTTCTTGATACTTCCCTATTTATCCAATACTATATTGCACTATCTCTGTTTTGCATAAAAATTTTCCAAGGTAAGCATTACATTTATACAACTTTGTCGTTTTATTCTGTTAGTCACCACGAACAGTGTGAAACGCACAGAACGCGAAATTACAGTTTACTGCTAAATGTTTTGATACGCCGACCAACTATGGATCAAACACGGGTCACACTATGAGTTACTTGTGCTACATTCTCCTTACTGGTGGCAATGCCAATATTTTAAAGTCCATCTTAAAGGCTCTGTAAAAACAAACGATGTCATCACCTATGCCGCCACCAAATCGTCACTGCATAATAATACCAAAAATCGTAAACACGACAAACAAAGCAAATGCATAACAGCTAAGTGACGACATGCGGATTTCGAGCGTGGACTTTGCTCGCGGCTTCTGAATAACTGCCGAACGCAGCGACAGTTTTTTTCCTTTTCTTATAACCATAATTCTCATATAGTTCGTAAACGACCGGTAGCCGTTACATCGCGCGTTTTTTTTTGTTATAGTATTGGGAAACGGCGCACATTAGGAGGAATCCGATTTTCCATATATCGGTATATCCAGAGAAAATAGAATGCCTATAAGGTTGCAAACCATGGTTCGTGAGTCGGCACAGATGCATAAAAAGAAAAAATTTTCGCGGAAGACACTTATAGTTTGTTTTATAATTTAATTCTTTTTACCACCTTTTTTGTTGCTCTTCTTCTCACTACTGACAAAATATTGAGAGTGTGATTTCCAAGTCTCTATTTTTTTCTTATACAAGGCGAACTGTTCCACTTGAAACTTCCGCTTTGAATACTTCCTCATACCATTAACATTAAATGTTAACTGACAGATATTGTCAAGTAGATATTGTCTACTTCATCTTCAGATGTCTCATATCCGCTTGCTTTCTTTACCCTCTCTGCTATAATCTTGGCTGTGTAAGTATAGAGTTAATTTATTTGTACCGGTATGTAGTCTACTACAATTTTTTCAAATTTTTTGTTTGTGTTCATAGATATCGTTGTTGCTTTCACCGAGTTATTTTCAAGTGTGTATATTGTGTTTCGATTCAAGACTACTTTGTTGTTGTTCTTTATAGTTATCACCACAATAAGTGATGTTTTGCTGATAATAATTAATGATTGCCGCTTGCTTTCCAGCTCATGCTGTATTTCAGAGATTTTTTTGTGCTCGTGATCTAGCATAAAATCGACCAGACACCCAAACAAAATGACTTTTTAATAGGGTTTTGAGAGCGACCATCTGATTGTTCCCATTAGATTATTTTCAGTTGCTATACATATCGAGTTTCAGTTTACAGTTTCAATAACATAGTGACTCAGTGGTTATACAAATCACACGCATAATGGCAAATGGTGATGACAATATGACAGTGCCTCATACCGAATGTTATATCTGTATGATATGGGAATATTGACACTCTTGCTTTCCTATATGTAGCCAGCCCATATATGATTACGTGGAAGGCTTCTTAACAAGTGCAATAAAGGAAAGTTTGAGAGAAGCGACGCCTACTGTTCAACGAATACAATGCTGCAAAGTCACGGGCGAAATTACACAGACCCTGATGTATATACGCCATTTTATTAAAAGACAAGAGAGTTGTGCTCAAATATATGGACACGTCACAAAGTGTAGCTATTTTTTTTTCTGACACATAAAAAACGAATCTCTCGAAATCCACAGAAATTTTTGAGCTAAGTGAAAGTAATAGTCATCGATAAAAAAATCAATCTTCAACCACTGAAAATTTCGAAGCAATTGGTCCAGTATTCAAAGAGGAAAGGGATTTCATCATGACGAAAGAGAAGAAGACTAACGAGAACAAAAACATAAGATTGAAACGATCGTTATGTACACTGACGTGTCCAATAAGAAACAATGTAAGAAATATGCAACTCTCTGGCGACCCATAAGGGAGAGAGGGCAATGTTCAAATATATGAACACGGAGGCCAAACACGAGGAGAATCGTCTGTCTTATTAAAATGCTGTTAATTTATCATCGTCAATTATTTGAATTTTCATCCCATTTTCCAAATGTTTGATAGGATATTTTCCGTACCGAGGCAGAGACATTCTTGCCTGGCACGCGAGAGGCCCCTGTTCCGGCAAATGCAAGTCCGTAAGTTTGCGAAGAGCGAAATAGATACGTCTGTATAGGAATAAACATGCGCCATTATTAGTGTTGTGAAAGTAATAGAATACAGAATTATAAATTTCTAGATTCGACGGTAAGTAATATATAAGCGAATTGCAACAAGCGTATTTTTACCATTAGAACCAATGCCGAACGTACCACCAGGCAAGGTGGACTGAAGCCTCGAGTTCAAATTTAAACTATCACTAACTATTATTGGACACGTAGTGGACATAACGATCGTTTCAATATTATGTTGTTGTTCTTGTTCTTTGACATGTTTTCAAAAAGTCGCTTTTCTCTTCGAATACTGGACCAATTGCTTTGAAATTTTCAGTGGTTAAAGATTAATTTTTTCGCTAGAAGGCTATTACTTTTATTTATTTCAAAATTTTGCGTGAATTCTATGAAATTTGATATTTCGTCTAAAATTTGCTGTATTATTTTTTATCCATGGGACACGGATTTTAGTCAGTGTCATGACTGGCTGTACGTTTTGATTCTGCAAAATTCTTGCTACTGGAAATTCAGAACTTTTTTGAGGGTACCGGTAGCGTCAAAGGTACCGGTAAGGACTGATTCGCTCTGGTCTAACGTGTTCATATATTTGTGCGTAGCTCTCTTGTTATTTAGATCGTTCTTAAATTGTAAAGGCATATTTTATGATGAAAATGCTCAAATAAAACTCACGCTTCGCGTTTCAAACAATCAATTTTTTCATGACGTCATATTAAATTTACCACGTCCGCAAAACGTATTATGGCGTCATAACGGATTCCTGTGACGTGATTGTTTAAAAAGGGGACTCGCAAAATGATCCATAGATCCACTTCCTATTCAATAACTAAACAAATACAGAGTAATATTTCCTCCACACAAACAACCAAATTCCTCCCCGGCTGGGAAACGTTGGCACCCTGGCGTGTGGAGTATCATTGCATCTAAATCCAGCCATAATTGAAACGGTTATGTTGTGAACGGTGTGAGAAGTAAACAAAAATGATTCATTATTGAAATTCGAACCTCACATTATTCGCACAAAACTTCAACGCTTTTAAAGCGAAACGTATGGAGGTAAGCGGGGAATGGAAAGCGACGCCAGATGGGCTAGGGAAGCAGAGAGCAGAGTGGGCATAGGCCGCAGCAGAGAAATGAGTTGGTAGACACGTCAAAAAGCCAACAAAGAGCAGCAAGGCAGACAAGCGGGTCGTCCAGGGGTCATACCGCAGCAGAGAAATAAGTTGGGAAACACGTCAAAGGGCCAAAAAGAGCAGTAAGACAGGCAAGCGCGTCGGCCAGAAAACAAAAGAGGCTCGAGAGAGCAATGATGCCCACTGTGGAAACAGCTGCTCCCGTATTCTCACTTGAGTACATGAGATTGAGAATTGAAAGAAAAAAACAGCAAAAACAAAAGTCGCCAAAAGACGCCGCAGTCACGAGCGATCCGAGAAACAAAGAAAACACAGCAGAGATAAAGCAAAAAGAAAGCCTTCAAGAGACACCGCAGCAGTCAAGCACGCCGGACACCAGCCATGAGCGAGCGGGGAGGAAAAGGCCGCAGCCGAAATAGAAAAAATTCACTCGGTGTGACCAAAATGATTCAAAATCAAAACGGATAAAAACGGTGGAATTCCCACTGAATAAAATTTTGGCTGAAATATCACCACATTTTTATTTTATTTAGAAGCTTATTTTGTTTATTTAGGAATTTATTTATAAACTATTCAGAAACAAATAGTGGTTTAAAAGAAAAGCGATTTTTTTCACAAGAACAAGAAAAATACCAAAAACAATAACAAAACGATCTAAGTCCACTTTGTGTCTAATAACATCCAGTGAATTGGCCTTGTCTGCCAAGCCGCAGTGCTGACCAGGACGGTATAGTCGGGAGCTGGAGTTTGGCATGTTTTCTTGAGAATTGTAGTCTAATTTTTTAATTCATCGGAGTCGGAATTTCATACAATGGTGATGATGATGATAGAGGTGAACATCTCGTACAGAGCATAAAATTTACTGGGCGTTCTTGACAGACTTAAGGGAAGGTGGGGCATGGGGCACAGCTCACAGTGGAAAATCAGCTTTCATACTATATCCGGAATCAGGGAAGGGTTTCGATGTTCGACTCCACCTTTCGGTGAGATACTACGTACCCGCAAACGGACAGCGCTCGTGCAGAGCGACAAAAGCTATTGAAATTGATGAGAGATGATTGATGAAGGTGAAATTGGTATTGGGGGTTGAAACTGAAATTTCGCCATCTCAGTCTTTTTTTTATATATCTTGTACAAAGCCCCCAATACGCATTAGGACTAGGAATGCTGATTGTGATGGAAATTTCAATTTTCAAATAATTCCTAACTGGATAATTACTAATTTGTTATTTTAAAATGTGTCTTTTCTTTTTTCTACCTTAGCCTTTCCAACAAGACAAACCATTGTCTGGTATTTTTAGTTTCAATCCTCTGTAAAATATTCATAACGTTGGTGAATAGAAGTGCCTTTTCAATCTTGACATGGGACGGTCTGAAAATGTTTGATGCCTATGGGAAACAATGGACCTGGGTTCAGTGGGACTTGCTCCAATGGGCACAATTATAAAGCGTTTGATCTGTTGAGTGATTGGAGGCGTTTGCGTTATGTTTTTCGCAATATAGGGGTATCCTTTTGCCCATGGCCCGATTGTAGATTCAAAAATATTTTCCAGAGTGTATTCGAAAAAGTAGAATATTTGATTTTGGCTGGATTAGACATTTTACTTGCTAATATATGAATTGTTGTTGTTGTTTTATTGGACGCAGTGAACAATTAAGTGATTTAAAAAAATTACACTTTTGTTTGTTTGTTCTTTTGGAACAGCACTCAAAACCCGCATTTGATGTTTATGGCCTTCTTAACAAAGAGCTGTCATCGTCGAGAATGAAAGTTTCAGAACTCATTTTCCATTGATTGAAATTAGATATAATACAAAAGTAAAACAAGAAATTTATTTCATATTGGTTAATAGGAATCTGAAATATTCAACAAGTACTTCGGCAGACTCTTTAAATACGTATTTCGCCAAGTTGGTTTTAAAATATTTTAGGTGAATTTCCAAATTTGAAGTCCCATAGTTCTTTAGATGCTGATTTTTTGACAATTTTTAACGGCGTATTTCGTTCAATTTAAATAATAGACTGCCCTAGTGCGTCCGAATGTGCCCCACCAGTGGGGTGCAGTGGGGCACTTGACAAACGTTTTTCAGATCACTTTGGTGATAAAAAGGCTGTCGCTAGATAATATCTGAGTCGCGGAATGAAAACTACATTTACTCCTCTCTACATTAGCCCCGCAATGTCAGATGGATGCGCAGGTTATGGGTCTAAAAAGAAAAAAAGTGGTCCAACTTTCCTCCATACTTAAAGTTTTCGTTATCAAAGTGTGATTTTCTAGGGGGCGGATGTTTTTAACCGTGAGTCAGATCAGAGTTACAGTCGATTGTAAATTTCACCTGACTCCACAACCATGGTTGACCATAATTCTTCTATTGAAATCGGGTTCATATTTTCTTCAAATTCAGTCCTGGTGACAAAATGTATGGATTTTATCTGGGCCTACCATCGGTTTGATGATCATTGTTTCTTCTATTCTCCGGGTGGAGTACCACATAGTACTGTTTCGCAACATCTGCAGAAGCTTTTGATATGTAGATTCTGAAAAAGCGATTTTTTGCAAAAAAATGGATCGTTCATCATATTGAACAAACATCAAACTGCAGCGATTCGATTTCGCACATTTCTGAATATTGTCGTCGGTTTCGAGTCGAGAATGGATGTTTACCCGGCACCAAATTCCATATTTCTGTTTTGTGTCAAATACGGCGAAGTAAAAAATATAATATTCAGCCACCAAGTTTTATTTGGCAGTTTTTAGATACAAATCAAATAATCGACAAGCCATTTTTATCTTTATGCTATTTTCAAAGAATCAGTCCAGAAAACCACTACCTAACGTTTTCGATGTGCAAGAAACGTTATTGGACACGTAGTGGACATAGCGATCGTTTCAATATTATGTTGTTGTTGTTCTTAGTGTCCTTGTTCTTTGAAACGTTTTGAAGAAATCGCTTTTCTCTTCGAATGCTGGACCAATTGCTTTGAAATTTTCAGTGGTTGAAGATAAATTTTTTCCCCAGAAGGATAATACTTTTATTCATTTTAAATATTTCTGTTAGGTCTGTGAGATTTGTTTTTGTTTGCTATGACGTCATTAAACGTTCTGCGGACATCGACGCCATTTGTGTCCTACTGTACTGCTTCACTTGGTGTGAATATATTTGTAGACTGTTATCTGACGGCACGGTAAACCGTACTGTACTGCGAACAGACGTGTTCATATATTTGGGCGTAGCTCTCTTGTTCATTGATAGCTTGTGATAGCTTACTGCGAGACACTTCCTTCAATTACCGAAATGTTCGTGAACTGCGACTTCTTGCACCAAAACAGCACGAAATTTACAAAAAAAAAGTAATTCAACAAAGTATTCAATAAGTTCAGTTCGTGTAAAATTGACAAAAAGGCGAATGAAATCCACAAAAAATATTTTTTGAGGCGTCGAAAGAAGAACTCATTGACTGAAATCATCAAATATGAATGTGATGATACTAAACAGACGTCGAAAGGCACAATGTATCAGGTTTATGTGATTAACGTGAAATAGAGAAGAAAAGATCCATGCAATAAAACGCGCCTAAACGCAAAATATAACATTTTTCGTTACACTGTTTAGGAGGTAAATACTCATGTAATACCATATAACAACAATATTGTATTTCATAAATACGTCAATTGTAATTGAGACAATACGTTGATTTAATTCAAAAGTGTCATAAGAAGAACAATTGAACGTATTACGTTTTGTTGAATTTTTGTATCATTAGCCGCAACAATACCATGCAATAGCTACCTCACCCTATTTTGTAAATTTAGAAACACAAAACGCTCGGCGGTGTGGATCATAATGCTAAACCAGGGGTAGGCAACCTACGGCCCGCGGAGTGAAATAATCCAGCCCGCGATGCTTTACTGAAATTTAGCGACAAAACGGCGGCTGCGAATTTTCACCATAATTTAACATTACAAAGAACAAGCGCGAGAACTAGGATTGGTTATGCCCATTTAGAAAATGTCCTAATCTTGGCTTCACCTGATGGCTTGGTATCACCCAACGACTAACATACCGGGAGTCACCTGATATCGAAACGCTATCAAGCGTAATGCAAGTGTCACATTAAGTGTCATTTGTAAATTGTCTGACTGTGTTAAGACGACTTGAGTCAACGAGCAGTGTTCGCTCGCTTTTGAAAGTTTAAAATTTCAACTTCTGATCTGTGTAAAAATGGCATACAACAGCCACCCGTTCGGTTTTTAAATGTGCGGCCCGCCAAGATTTGCAACCCTTAAATTTGACCCTCGAGCGGCAAAAGGTTGCCGACCCCTGTGCTGAGCGTTAGGATTACGGTCAGGGGCGTACCAAACTTTTCTGCTGCCCGGGGCGAGTCTAATAATGATGCCCCTTATCCTTACCATACGTCCCGCTTTAGGCGGGACAGTCCCGCTTTTTAGCGTCTTGTCCGGACACATCAGCCAAAGGTCCCGCTTTTGCGTTTAGCCATCCAGCATAATACACGGACATATTCTCGTTACTGTTGTTTCTGTGTCGCGCAGCGCTAGCCTACTTACTGTAGGTGAATGCGTTTGTTACCCGATGATTCCCATTACTAGCAGACGTGTCGCATGTAAAACGAATACTAATCAGTCTAAATTCGAATTATTTGTACCGGTATCGTTAACATCGATTCCTTTCTATTTTTCGAACTGAACCCGGTATTTGGACAGAAAATATGCGCATGAAATTTCGATAACAATACGGTCAATAAATACAGCCGGGACAGCTTTAAATGTAGGAATGTAGTAAAATCGGAAAATGTAAAGTTACGAAATCACAGCTAAGGGGTCGTTGTCTTCTGAGGCGTCCCGCTTTGAATCACGAAAATATGGCAACCCTACTTATCCCTAACTTCAAAAATAATCCGGGGATAAACATATTATAGATGTCGTTGACTCGTTATACATGAGAATAAATAAATTAAAGGTCAAGTAAGATAAAAACGTTTGTTTCATTAAATAAATAATCAAACTCATTTACTAAGAAAAAGCAAGTTACTTATTTCTGCGTCCAATCACTACTTTGCTCTTTCAGCTCGCTCGTCACTCGTCAGGAATTTCTTTTCGATGCTGACCAAAAATAAACGTGACAGGCGCTAATTTGACATCGAAGACCTCAATTATGTTTTTATCTGTATCAACTCTGAGAAAGATCGTTCGCAACTAGCAATTGAGTAGCCGATCCGATTGTGAGTAATAAACAATATGCAATGCACAAAGTTGGAATGACATGTCAACCTCAACCAATGAAGTAAGAAAATCTTTAGCTTTTCTTGGAAAATCTGTTTCCACTTCGGTAAAGCGACGTAACAGTAGACGTTTTAGCAGTCGCACAGACAGATTTTCCGGCATGGTTGTAAACATTACCGCTTTTCGCATGCTAATTGTTAGTTTTTGGTTGTGTTTTGGAAATTTCGGAACGAATCAAATAACTCAATAATTAAGTGACAGCACATTCGCACCCACGTACATTTGCACCCGTAAACTGCACCCACCGACATTTGCACCCATAGATGTTACCACCCGCATATAGATTGCACCCGCAGACATTAGCACCCGTGTACAGACAGTTGCACCCATTACAGTGCAGAGGTGCGATTATGGCCGCGTCCGTTTTTGAGCCACTTTTCTGCGGACCAGTAGTAACAACGACAAGGCTTAAGCGAACTGGCGATGAGCTGCGGATAGGCGGTTGCCGACCACTGGTTTACAGCACTTTCCTCCTCTTCGTATTATTGCGTCATAATGGTGTCTATACCGACGCGCGTTGTTTTCCTCGATCAGAGTTAATGGACGGAAATCCAAACTGGGTAAATTAGATAATACAAAGCTATATTCTTTCCTGCTAATCTCCTTTAAAATATTTTTTTAACGCCCGATGTTAATAATTTGAGGATCTCCTCTGGAAGTCACATTTTCACTCCCAACTACAACTACAGTATCTACCAATTTTACTTTTGCAGTTCATGCCACATATTTAGTCGAATCACAGACAATCGCTCTATAAATTGTCCAAATGATACTAATGAATGAAAAGTTTGGGAAACCCCGTTTCAGAGGTACCGGTAATGTATGTATGTTTATTCGTCTCGTAATAGTGATAAAAAAATAAATGAACGATTATTATTATGTAAGACGGGATGCATGCACAAGACCGTACTGGCCTAAAACAAAGTGTGCGGCATACACCCTTTTTAACAAATAGAAAACAAAAAACATTAGATTAAATATGTATAGCATGGTCCCTTATATAGACAGTTGTGCAAGGTGAGGCAATGGGTCGGTTGGTGTGGTGAAAGTGGTAAGGGTGGAGTATAAAAAACTGTTTATACAGGGGAGTTGATAAGACAAGACAATATATATAAATAGAGACAACACAACACCAAATAAACATAACAATGAAATCAAAATTTAGGCGCAAATACTGCGCCTTTGAGTGGTGAGATAGTATGAATGGGCGAAGTATAAGAGATAATAGATGATTATCATTCACTCTTCATATTTTCCGCAGCACATTAAACTTTGGTTTCTGGTACTACAGTCATGATGATACAGTCATGATAATTGATGATACTTCAGGGTTTTCACCATTCCATGATTGTCAGATAAAATCAATGTTCCACATTTCATTATACAGGATTTACTAGGACTTGATTCAAAGATTATTTGTGCTATTTGTACATGTTACTGAGAGCTTGTACAACAATCCGTACGTAAAAAACATGGAACAGAATAAAAAACAGAAATTATGCCTAGCTTGGCTTTAGAATTGCAAGAAATAACAGTCGAATAATGATTGCACAACACATAAATTACAAATTACCCGAAGGAGGGAAAATTGACCAAATCATTGGTATAAATTATAATGACAAACCATATCACCATAAAATTATGTTTGCATGTTACAACTTTCACAAAATACTCAGCTCAAAGTGTGCAAAGTGATCAAAATCTGTTTTACCGAAACAAAACTGCTCATTTGATCATGTCATAATGTATATCAATTCCTAAATTTTTCATGGGTCTTCGTGATTATTAAAACATTGATAACATTCCTCATATTCTTTTGCATCTACCTGCCATCCATATATTTTATCGCGTTTGTCGCACTCTTGTAATCTACTTGGAAAATCAATGTTCATATTTCATAATTTCTGAATTTTCTTCTCATTTCTTCCCTTGAATCCAAAATTTTGTTCTTTCCATTTTGACTAAATGCTTGGTCTTTTCCAGCGACTTTTAAAACACAAGTAACACATCATCAATTATTCATTTACGACAGACAGCCTAATGGGTGTGATTTCAAACTACTTACAACCCAGACTAATTAAAAATTGGGATAATCAGTTGGGGAATTTTGAGAGGTTTCCTTGTTTTAATGCAAATCACAAAAAAACACATATAACATGTTAAAGACCACATATGAAGTATTTTATGTTTTGAAGTTATTTTCAAATGTTTTTTTTCCAATAGTTCGGGAAATAAAGCCAAATTGGTTACTGTAATATTGAAATGATTTCAAATTCTATTATAACTCTACGATAGTTCATTTCCTTGTATCGGTTCAATTCAAAATGACCAATGATTCTAAACAATACAAAACCTATTTTAAGAATTTATACAATCCAGTTTGGGTAGAATATTGGCATTCATAGACCAGGAAATGGTTAGAGCATAGGTACAGCTTATGGTAACAAGGGAAAATGAATCATCGATAAGACATGTTGTTCGAACTTCATCCATAATTCACTCTCATAACATCATAATTTTGCCTTAAATAGCTAGCGATATAGCGTACCGATCAGCTTTCATAGGCAGAATATTTTGAAAATTGATTTTAAAATTAGGTTATAAATGAATGAAACCAATTTCGCTACCAATTAGCTTTTATAGAAAGAATATTTTGAAAACCGTTTCTAAAATTAGGTTATAAATGAATGAAACCAATTTCGCTTGATTTAAAACTAAAAAATATTGGGTTTCCGAAAAATCAGTGATAAAAGCAAAAAGTAATCGAAAGTTTTTGGCAAAAATGGTCAGACATTGTTTCACTAACCTGAACTCGATTCCAACATTGGTTCTGGCTTCTTGTAGCCCCAGTGCATCGACTGTAAATCGAAAGCACTAGTAATATATAGGTACATAAAACTAAAAAAGCATTTAGAATTTTAGATGAATCGATCCTTTTTTAAGGCTGCGATTTATCAAAAAAGAGTTTGTTTACTGAGTTCTAGAGTTTCGTTTCTGGAAATTGTCAAAATTTACAAGTATTAGAAAAATGAGATCAGTATGATGCTTTAATGACATCCCTTAATTTTGCCATTATAAATTACAGAATTTCATTTAAGAAAAGATATATAAATATGATTACTGAATAAAAGCAAAATAATTTCAAGTCACCGATTGCATAATAATAGAGACCAGACTTTGGAAGCCCTGAACGCTAAGAAAATTGATGTGGGATGTTGTAAAATCAACAAATAGTTTGATTGAATGATAAAAGTGAATCTCTCTAAGTCTATACCTTCCATTCGAAATGAAACTTGAATAAGATAAATGAGAAAGTCCGTAACCTCACAAACAAAGCAGATCGTATATCACAAAATAAATTCATAACTTTTCAATGCAGCATTCTCCGCCTTCATTGCCAATATAAATGTTTAAACATATTCAACTTACGTTATATTACGATTGATACAATAAAATTCACATTTATTTTTATTTCACATACTCCAAGAGAATTTTTTGTACAGCATATCCTATAATTAAATTGAACAGTATTTACAATAAACTTCCAAAATACACCATTATTTTGGAATCAATTTCACATATCCTCTAAAGAAGGTCATCAATTAGGCACATGAAGATATGCATTACAGAAAATCACCAAGCAAGAAATTAAACAGATTTTGTAAATTTAAACAGTGATTCAGCATATTATGTTGAAACAAACAAACATGGCGTAAACGAGGATTGTTCACCCAGTGGACTCTCTACTCCCAAATACACTACCGTATTTGTTCCAGTGGCTGGTTCGAAAAATGAGTCCCCATTTCATGGTGGAATAGCGCCACTAATAAGGTGTTCACATAATATCAATGATCTGTAATATCGAATGTTCTTGAATTTATTAAAGTTGGCAAGCAATATCATTGCAATTACATTCAAACCAATAACTGTATCAGGGTTAGAAAAACATTACTCTTAAGTTTATAGCAGTGGTAAGACATTCATGATTAGTGCTCTCTTTTTTAAACACTCTCAACAATTGTAGATCTTCTATATGAATATCTAGTTTTGCATTAACTTCAACACATTTCCATCAATTATTTTATATGCCATGTTTAATAATATAAAAGCCAACAAACAAAAGAATTGCAGTGAATTTATTTAAAAAAAAAATGTAGTTATCACAAATCGTACCTAATGAACCTTCGGTCTCATAGAACCGCTTTATGGCCCTCTAAGGGAGCTGATGGCCCAGTTTGAAAAACTCTGGGTTTATGGCTTTGTATCTTAAACCCGACTGTGTGTTTTGGAACTGTGATTGCTGGGCAAATCGACAGCTGTGATCATTTGTGGAATTTTATAGCAGACGATTTCTTTAGCAGCGACCTGTATATCATGTTTTATTTATGTATCAAAATGAATTACCATTTTCACAGAGTCTCTCATAGATCTCCATTTGTTATACGGAATTCTTATGCCACTGTTCCTCCATGCATCATAGTCCTTCCTTTTCTAAACAACAGGTTTAAAAATAATTGCAGCTTTCGAAAATATTTATAAAGAATGGAATATATTTTGAATTGACGCTTCAATCATAAAACCATGCAGAGTTGCAGACCATCGATTCGATGCTTTTTATACAATGAATGATGTGCTAGCAAATGCTCCAGAGAGTGCATCAATTAAATAATAAATACCAAAAAGTATGTAGTTGCAGTCAAATCAGGGTTAATGCCTGGTTAGCATCATATTTCTAACCAACAGTGGAGAAAGATGCTATCTCATAACTTCAATATTTAACTCTGGTGAGAGAAATGACGAGGCAGCTCAATCATAAGCCAAATAGTGCCCCTTGTCTTGTTGTCATTCCATGTCAGGTATAGAGATAGCTAACTAGTTATTTGTTTCAAAGGCTGGGACTTGATGGTGGAGGAAGCTGTGAAAGCTGTGAACCATGATAATGTGCCAAGGAGTTCAGCAATCCTACTACACATGATTATCCCCCACAGGAAACCTGAACAGAGTAATAAGAGTTCTGATGACAAAGGTTGTTTCGAAAAGCTTAGCATGATATGCCAACTGTTGCTAAGCCTTACAACAATTAAATTTACAACATCAGACACTGCAAAAATAGATTATTTGTTATTTCCTTGACAAATATTACAGAAACAAAACATGTTGCAAAATACCTAAAATAGATGTTTTCTTGAAACAGTCTACCAGACGGTTAACCTTGTCATAAGGATTATTGATCTGCATTTCAGTAAATAATGAATAGATATTCGGGTAACTGAATTTAAAAATGTGCGTCGTATTATACACAGGACGTCCTTGAATTTATTTGCTTTTCAAACGTTTACTTTAATTTGTGGTATGGTGTTGTAATTTTCCTGTCTTAAAATTCTCAGCATATGGACGAAATATCAATATTTCCAAGAATAAATAATTGTGAAATTTTCAAATCGGAATATGGTTTATTATTATAATTCAGTATTGAAATGAAATGAGCATAATTAGAAATACTGCTATAGATGAAAAATAAATTTGAAATAAAATGATACTTATACATAGGTATCTTGTTTTGGTAAAAATTGATTCATCAATTAATAGTATCATTTGTATGCGCAGCAAACATTTCTCTAATTATTACCGTAATTAGGACACACAAAAGCATTCACATAAAATTGTTAAAATCCATACCACAGCTGTTATGTGGAATTTACAATATTCAATCACACGTTACTGTGAAATATGCTTAGTGTGTAGCAAGTGCATAATGGAGAATTAACACATTTTACTTTTAAATAATTAATTAAAAATCATTACACACGAGGGGATGTTGCAAAATGAGACATAAACAAAAGCTTTTATGATGTGTCCATATGTATATATTCAATCTTTATAGATTTGGTAGTCTTAACTCTCAACTAAGTTCATTTTACCAAATATTATTTCAAATTTAGAATACATTGAAAGCATGTCTGGCATTCTGTTAGCAAATTTCAGAGTTTGATAAAACATACTAATACAACCAGATTTCTGTGGAAACCCCCAATTTCATTTTGTAAAAAAATAATAAAATCATTGTTTCTGTTACCAACTGGTTCTGATTCAATGATAGATTCATGTAACTTTTATATAATATCTCTCGTTTACTTCGTCATAGTTATAAAATGACCAATACTAGAAATAATTTCCCAATATCCTTCACAGTATAGACAAACATTATGATGTATTTTTGAAAAATTTCATTTCCTTATCAAACCTATGATGTGAGAGATATTTGTCAAATTGTTACAGATCTGTTTGGATTAAAATCTATTACTTAGTCACATAGAATATGTTATCAAAATTATATTATATAGAAATTTCCATGAAAATGTTGCAATAATTGAATGTTAAATTTAACAACGATTTGAAGGCATGTCATTACTCTTCAGAGAAATGTCAAAAGAAAACGGCTTGATCAAATCATGAATTCTTGTTCAGGGAGCAATCCTGAGTAAGGAACAACCCTATTTACTAATTCAACAGCTAATTGATACATGGAGTTTGTTGGTCAACCAATATGTACACTGTTTTCAAACAAAGAATTTAAACTTTCAATACCACCCTGATGCTGGGAATTGAAAACTGGGTGTTGTTCAGTTCGGACACAGTGTGGTTTAATGTACTAAAACCGTCTTTAGGGCATTTATATATTCAAAAATACTGGTTGAAAATATTGATTCCTTTTTTTACTTATATGTCATTAAAAAATGAGAATTTACTGATAAAAAATGAGAATTTACTGATATTTTTTTACAATTTTCAGTTTGTGTCTTTGTGATAATTTCAAATTTACAAAAAGTAACAACAGTTGTTGCAATGAAAAAAGCATAGCTAAAAATATCACATTGTTGTCATCCAACCTACCAGAAATGTTGAAAAAAGACTAGCAGTCATATGGTGGACATATATACCTTCAATGTTTCTTAATTTTATTTTCTAACCTCGGAGTCTGTTAGTACTTCTTTAGCAGCTTGTAACAAAGCAAATTCTTGCGAAGCATTTGGATTATTTTGATTCTTATCTGGATGACAAGTGACTGCTTTCAATCGATATTCTGTAATAATCTGTTCCGTCTGAAATTTGAAAATAAGATTTTGTGAATTCAAGAAAAGATACCATCACAGAGATACATCTTGTTATGATAAAGAACAAAATTCCCCTTATCAAACAATGAAACATAGAACAATGTTTGAACATAGACTGCAATCCATCTGAATACGACAATTGGCGGCATCGGAAAGAAAGAAAAGGTTTGGGGCTACTAAAAAGATAAATGAAGTTTAAAGCACTTTTTTTTTGGTAGAAATTTTCAGTTGCTACAATTTATTACAATTAGATACGTCTATATTAGAATAGTTTGACAATTCAAAGTTATTGCCATTAGTTCTCTTTTTAGAAATTAAATTCACGAGAAATAAATTTCAATTTTCTGAATTCTTGAAATAAGCTGAAACTTTTTTTTTCTATTTCACAAAGTATTTCAAATAACCCCCGAAAACTCATAAAAATTGTGTAAAATTGGTTATTAAAAGGAAATCAAATAAAAAAATTTGTAATCTCCAAGCTAAGTAAACAAAGGATAGTCGGAGATGAATACCTTTATCTAGCATTGTTGTTTTTCAATGTAGAAAGCAAATAGGCACGAGTCTTAAATTACTTGTTGGCAAAGGTCAAAATGAGGCTTGCTATTTAGCACTTATATATGAAAACAAGTGATCCCAATTAGCTGAAATACACAATATACCGCAAAGTGCTCTCAAAGTTAATTCAGCATAACTATAAGACTAAACTGCTCTTGACTATACTGGACTGCATTTCGAGACTACCACTTATGTATACAAACAAGCATTCACAGTTACAACCATTTACATATTGCTATTCGATAGCATAGGTGGATAGGCCACTTTCAAAATTAGAAACTAAACTATATGAAAATGTTGGGAAATGGACATTGAAAGTTTTCTACTTTCAGTTTCATTTCGCGAATTACTCATCGGAAAAAAATCCCCCTTTTGACCATTGAAAAATTCTGCCAATCATAGGCACTGAATTAAATTTAAATCAGAAAGTCATCCGCTTTAAACTTACAGATGACGAAGCGTCGCAACCAATCACTTCATAGTAATCAGTGGAGTCCTCGTCGTCGATTCCAAAATTCATCAAATTATTCATAATAGAACCAAGACTCGACGACACACTGTACATCAGAGATAAACAAATTTCATATCCAAATTTTTTATTAGTCTCAGTTTGAAGTAAATAATCTGACAAATATCAACACAAAAAGCATGAAAAACAAAATATTACATACAATGGGTGTCGAGAAACATTGATGGAATGTTACAGATTAACAATCAGAAATAATGCGCATCATGTTTCGACCGGGACTATCACAATGCTATAACTTAGAAACGTTGATGAATGGAATAATCATGCTCTAGTTTTTGGTCATTATAAACGTAAGCAAATAAAATACCAGTGCATAACAAATTGCTGGGACACAAAGATATTAAATTTATGATGAAAAATTACAGTTCAGAATCAGATGACTGTTTAATGATTTATGCCGAGTGAAGCCATATTGAAAAAAATTGAATTCTGAAATATCAATAGCTATACCATGAAAAAGTATTATACGCAAGATTATTTGAAACAACCCATATACAATTCAAATTAGAAATACAGATATTGTTTCATTGATATAACTTCAAGTATGATTCATTGATAAAGCATGTTTTTATGTTTTAAACAATTGTAATATACGCTGGCCATGTTAGTCTAATAAACATATGGTAACAATGGAGAATGACAATATTTTGGTTTCTATGTAAAAAATGCTTTGCCTTCGAAATTCAATATCATAGGCAACCTGCATGTTTCTATAATTTAACAGCATGATAAATGGAGTGGAAAATATGCTTCCCTAATCCGCTTTTATCATGTGACTATATTTAATTAATAATTGATGACAAAATCTGGGATTAAAGTAAGTGATCAGTAATCAATATCCTTTTTATACCATCAATGCTGGTATCCAGGGACATGAATTCATTGAATTGAAGATAATCATCAATATGAAACGAGTCAAAGTAATGTTCAACATAAGCTGATTTTTATTATAATACCAAGACGATATCTTATGGGTAGTAAGAAGTCCAAAAACAGCTTCATAAGATACTGTATATCGAAAATTTGAGAAGCCGTGATATTCAATCTTGAGGGAAAATTTTGAAACTCTGTTCAAGATGAAAATTTAATAAGTAATTTACCCTTGATTATAAAATATACTTCAAGCTTTAGTTCAGAATCAAAACAATCCAAATCAATGTTAATTGTATTTGTATACTAATATGTCTAAGTCTAATCCTCAACATTACAAGTTCTTTGCATCAAGCTAAATTTGGTGTTATGATTTTGCTGTAAAAGAACACCAACTTGGGAAGTTTACCTATTCAATTATTTAGTGGCATATATGGCACAAACTGTGTTTAACGAACTATATAACAAACTGGGATATTACTTAAATGAGTTTCAGATATTATTATCTCAACAGTAACAATACCAAGTTTTTCAAAATTGTACATTGTTTAGTAAAACAGCTCTATAACAATAATAGCAAACTGCCAAATGCTAGAAAAGTTTGAAATACGTCAGGGTCAGTAAGAAGGATAAGAGTCAAACAAACAAGGGAACAAAAACAATTATTCTTATTTCTGCTGAACAGAAATTTTAAATCAGACTCCGAGTATAAGACAGAATTAGGATACATATAAATATAATTATTTTATCCGGCCCAATCAAGATTTGTCCCTGATAAATTTCTATTCAGAAAAAAAACACACTGTAACAAAAAATAGACTGAAACTATACAAATCTAATTAACAACCTCAATCAGATAATGGTTACCGAATCAAGGGAATTTTCAGAATGAATTATGTAACTGTCAATTTCGAAAAATTCCACTTTGCATATGCTCACTTAAAGACTTTTTAAATATGTTAGTCATAACAAACGACCTCTGAAGGCAAATAAATTGCAATTTAACAGTTTGTTTGGTAGAGATATTTGTTCAATTACATGCAGAAAATTTAACACAAAATTCTGTCAATAGTAATGCATTTATGCTACATAGACTCATTCTGAATCAACCCTAGTGATGGGCAAGTTTTAGTCTAACAGAAACATCTATTTGGCACTCCAGAAATTAAAGTGTTTTGTTCATATTTTCAGGTTTTTCTTCTAGTGCAATTATAATCGTAACACACTTTAACTTGGTTTCCATATGTAGATATTAGAGTTAGATTCCATGCTTATGGAAGTATATGATTCTTACAGAGCCAACACAGAGTACCAATTATATAATAGAGTTATGGTAAGATATTATGCAATATAGCATAATAGCAGTGCAAAAGTCTATTGAAAATACATGTCTCTCGACAGAGCATATTGACAGATTAAATACACATTTCTGAATGAGATTGCCACAAATATCTTATTTAAACACAAGTAATAACATTGCTGTTGTTCAGTGATGCTAAATAGAAAATAAAAAAGTAAAAAAATATACGTCTGCAGAATAATCAACTCTTTAATATGAGAAGAGCCTATAATATATACAACTTGTCACAGCTTACAATTTTTTGTCAAATTATAAAAATTGTCAGTAATACATTAGAAATAAACAGGAGATTTGTCAATCTGATTTATTTGGAATACAAGCACTTAGAATGACAGAAAATTTACCACAAGTCGGTTATAAATCAGACTCTGTCTAGTCACGCTCAATTGCTTTTCCAATCAGAACAAGTTTATATATGTGAATAGAACAGTTCTATCAACTATTATTTCTCAACTACTAATAAGGAATAGATTTTTAGCAATAATGAGGGCAGTAAAGCCACATAGTCTTATTTCTATAACTTCTGTACATATATTAAAGACTATGTTACATTTTGTATCTCTTGGAAGGCGATAATAAGAAATGAAGAAACTTCTATTGCACGCCGTTATAAGAATATTCAGCTTTGTTGTGCATTATCAGTTTGCCATCCACAAAGTAAAAGCTGTCAGATTTCGTCTCAAAAGGATGTTGTATCATTTCTTTCATCATATCTTTTGATAGCTGGGGAAATTCATAAATGTGTTCACATGTGTTCTTGCTGTTCGGTATGCAAAATCCGAAATCAAAATCAAAGCTTTTTAATAATGTGTTACGAAAGTAGTGACGTTCAATCATGCGAAAATTTTGGACTGGTTTCTCACCAATTACAAACTCCACCGTTGCCCCCACTGTTCCTAATTTTAGGAATTGTGGGGTGAATTGGTATCGCACAAAGCGACCTGAGCTTGCATCAGCATCTTCGTCATATTCTTGTTGTGCGTCAACTTCTTGAACCATGTCCGAATCTGGTTTCATAATTTCAAACAGGACTGTACCAGTGTCCATGTTTCTTATCTTAAATCGAGTAAAATCAATTCCAAAAACATTGGATTCAAGTGAACAAAGATAATTTTTAGTTGGGCTTGCGAGCTTTAATACATCCGATGCCTCAATCACGCTCTTTTTGGCCAAATCTTCTTCAGTTAAAACTTCTTTCGCAGAATTTCCAGATCCATCTTTCTTTTTCTTCTGCCTTGAAAGAAATCCCCCACCACCTTTCTTTTTGTTACCACCACCAGATGAAGCATTTACTGTGCTAGCCATAACGATTAATTCCCACTCCTACACTCGGCGTTTTATCTAATACTCAAGCAATGGTCGAGGTTAGAAACGAATAATAAAATGACGCGGGGACAAAGCGACAAAGAAATGACTGAACAGACGGAAATCACTTCGATAATGACGAGCGAGAATGAAAATATTGCTCTGTGGCTCTATCTAGTAGGAGGTGTCGGAGTCGGAGTTTGATTTCACCCTGGCCATGTTTTCACTATAGACGATTCGTAACAACGACTAACATACCGATTCGTAAGTAGTAATATCAACCTCCCCAAGTCAGAGTCGGAGCCGAAATTTTGAATTTGCCAAAAGTCGGATTTTCATACTTTTAATGGCGATAAAATAAGTCAAAACCCTCTACAGAAAAGTCAAAATTTACAAAGCGTTCCGGACAGAAAATTGAGGAAGACTTGCATGTCCCGAAGGTTTGGTTATCAAAATTTGATTTATCTGGTGTTCAGAGCTGGAATCAGAATCTACTAGCAAATATTATTTCTACAGTCTATGTTATTTCAATTGATAACATTATTGATAGACAGTATTTGAAAAATTATAAAATTGAAATATTATCAAACCCTACATCTATTTTTACATCAACATACTGGTATGACAACAACGTAATAAAAAATATTACCCTCATTAACGTTACAGTATTACTTCCATTTGATTGTGTGGTGATTTGTTCATCCAGGTAAGTTTACATTACACATTACTGTATGTTACGTTGCGCATGGATAGGTTAATCCACAACAGCGTCGCCCAGTGACGAGTAACTCGCAGTCTTTTCTGAATCAGCTCTGAGGATTGCGCGTGGCTGATAAGATGGTGAACGTTCCAAAGACCAGGAAAACCTTTTGTAAAGGCAAGAACTGTAAAAGACATCAACTCCACAAAGTAACACAGTACAAGTCTGGTAAAGCGTCGTTGTACGCACAGGGAAAACGTCGATATGACAGAAAACAAAGCGGTTATGGTGGTCAAACCAAGGTCGTGTTCAGAAAGAAGGCAAAAACCACTAAAAAGATTGTACTAAGAATGGAATGTACATCTTGTAAAACAAGAAAACAGGTTGCAATCAAGAGGTGCAAGCACTTTGAATTGGGAGGAGACAAGAAGAGAAAGGGACAGATGATCCAGTTCTAGAAGAATTGACTGTATGTCGCGTCCAACAGCTTATTCTTGGTATGAATTGTATTCAAACAATGATATATCAATAAAAACGAAAGCGCAATACATAAATTAGCTATTCTATTTGTCTAAGGGCAGAAGGGATGAAATTATATACAGTATATAAGTCAAAAAGCTTAGAACTTTGACTAGCTTGGCAGTTACAGAGACAGCTGGACAGAGAGGGCTTGTTTCATTATTTATATGTTAGGATTTGGACCTATTAAAATTTTCTCTGTTCTGGCTCCTCCATCTAATATGGTATCCCTGACTCCAGCAAAAAGTTGCAGCTCTCCAGCATTGCTTTTTAGCATATCAGATATGTGTCATCCAACTCAAAATATTTTCTAATTAACTGTATTTGTTGATAGTTATTAAGATCTATCTGTCTATGGTAGTGTGATAATCGTATTCTTGGATTAAAAGCGGTCAAATTTATTCACAAATTGAATGAAAAGAGAATTTATTTGGAAGTGTTGAGCCAATAATGCTTTACCCCAAAGGGACCCGCTGACACAATTATTCAAACAGATTTGAATAACTGCGTTTGGGTCTACAATTAGATAGCCGAACATTTTCCCCAGCCAATCGATCTAGTCCAGAAATAAGTTTGTATAAAAGAACCCCAGTGCACGAACTTCCTTGATTGCTTCGGTGACATTGGCTAATCAGCAAGCTGTATCATGTGATGCATCAAATAAAACTTTAGCAGCCACCCGAGGCTGTTATATACATTGCTCATATTTGTGGTTTCGTCGGCTTGATCTTGATTTCACAAATTCCTTTTGGGGTCATTTTGTCTGATGTGGAGGTTTGTTGCAGTAAACAAATTTGATCCTGTAGTAACTGTGATAGACTAAGCTAAAATGAGTACTTTTAAAATGGCAGGCTGTTAAATAATTTGGATCAAAATGAATGATATAAACAAGTTTGTAACTACCAAGTCAAAAAAACTTTAAAATAAGCATAAAACATTTTGTAATGGTAAGGCACAGGATTTGATTTTTGGGAGCACAGTGATATGAAATTCTAGTCAGATATACATTGGTTCGATAACACTGATTCACTTCATTGAATTCACTATATGGAGCAGCTCCATGTAAACTATACAACTCATCAGCAATTACTCCACCCAAAATATTTCCAGCAATCTTGTCTCAACAATTAATACAAGTTTCTCAGCTGTTACTTCACCCGGAGTATTTCTAAACTTTATGTGCACGACTAATAAATCAGAATAACTGAAATCACACCTGGCGCGTTTCAACACATATTTCATAAAGATCATTTGAACACATACAAACTTAAATATATTTCGAGGCTTATTTGATAAAAGTTTAAGAGTGAAGACACATTGGTAATAGAATAACAAAATAAAATTATTCAATAGAACAAGTTCACAGCTATTGCACAAAATTTTGGCAATGGTTTAATAGAATAATAAATTTGGTAAGTTGTTAAACAGTGTTGGGAGGCTTGAGTTAATGACATGATTCACATTTATCTAAGTAACTTGAGTAATCTAAATAGGTATGGGACTCATCATAAAACTGAGCCCCAATCAGGGTTCAGAGATGTTTACACAACGCTGCTTGTTGAGTGATGTCACAATTAGGGTTGCCACTTCTGGATACATTTTTTTTTAATCGAATCTGATTCCATTGAGCTTTTTTTTTTATTGCATGTCTATGTTTGCTCAAAGTCACATAAAAGCTCTAATCTAGAAGAGAAAAACTCAAAAATGGAATACGCTATATAGCGAGGATTATAAGGGTTTTTCAGTGAATAAGCCACACTTATGTCCATCATGATAAAAAAGATGTTGGTCATAGATATCACCAATAAATGCATTGATGAAAAAATTGTTGTTACAACTTATCTGTGAGTCTTACAATACTAAGTTATTATTGTGTTATACTTGTATCAGGACTGAGGCAATTTGATGGAATTCATATGAGAAAATTAGCAGGGAACAGTTGTACTGTTATGTCATAAACACAGTAACAGCACTGCTTTCCCTAATGACTAGGGCATAGTCCCACACCAGTATATGTGACTGTGGTCTTCCACTTCTTGTTATATTGAAGTAAGGCCGGCCTTATTAATTACCGATTCTTTACCTTCAAAATTTTAGTACAATATTTTATATTTATGCTAGCAGCATAAAGTAATACGACAAAAACATTCTAATTGTATCTGATTTACTATAAATGGGAAATGCTTGCAAGAATATGATCAAAGACGATAAAATTAACCACATTTAAATTCATTTCGAGAAAAACAATCGTTCACCCGACTACGATTGCGAACAAAAATTTCCATAAATATTAGAGACAATATATATCATTTGTGGGTGTGGCTAACAGCGTTATTGGCTAACTCGGGATTCATTATTATTGTGGACTACTTGCTAATTCAGAAAGTCCAAATGTGCATAATGGATGCCGCGCTGACGAGCGATAATTGGTCGACGCTTCATCTTGATCAGACATGGTCGCTGGGGCTAAAGTAAGACGACATTCGCACAGTATGCTTGGTCTGGTATGAAATCTGGCACGCGTTGATGTAAAACAGTGCACAAGTATTATTTACTCCCACCTGTCCGTTATGACATTTGCTAGAAATAATCCGAAATGTTTTATTCCCGCTTGTATCGCGCTAACAAAATACTAATTTTTTTGTAACAGCTGAAAAAAGACGTGTATGTACTATTACATTATGTCCTGATTTCGTTTACCGCCACTCGAGTGGAAGCCTAACAAACGCAAACAAAATAAATATATATTTTTTCCAGGATGAGAAACATGATTGTCAATTAACATTGCCGGCCGATGAAATCATTCAGTAATAGTTCTCTTCAAATGTACGCGAAATATTTCACCTACAACAAAGTTTAAATTAAATTTCAGTCAAAATTAAATGTCACGAATTTTCAGGTATGCGATCCATTAAATTTCGCGCATAATAGAAACTTAGGCTACTCAGTGGAAAACTGAACTCGCAGTTTGGTGGAAATTACGCCACACATCATCTCGAGTGATACGTAAAAGAGTGTGTTGTGCCGAACTTGAAACAAATTACGGCAGGTAAGTAAAAAAGTCAATCACGAAAAATTCATTTTCATTATTTCCGTCCCGTTATTTGGAGTGCCGCATAACCGCATTCGGCAGTTTTAACGCCGCCATTGACAACGATTAACAAACGTTTAATGTTTTTTCTTTCGGCCCCGTAATTTAGTGTTTATTGGAGTGCCGCATAAACGCATTCGACAGTTTTAACGCCGCCGAAAACAACGATTAACAAACGTTTAATTTTTTTTCCTTCGGTCCCGTAATTTGGAGTGCCGCATAAACGCATTCGGCAGTTTTAACGCCGCCGTGAACAACGATTAACAAACGTTCAATGTTTTTTTTCGGTCCCGTAATTTGGTGTTATTCGGAGTGCCGCATAAACGCATTCGGCAGATTTAAAGCCGCCGAAAACAACGATTTAACAAACATCCATTCGGAAAAGATGTGATTGTAATCGATCCGATTCGTAAATCCAAAAGTGGCATCCCTAGTCACAATTTAGTGTAGTAGTGGGCGCCAGTTCTGTCACAAGATAAAAATACAAATAAATAGAACCAACATTGTACATAATTTAACTGTTCAGTATATAAAAATATCTTTCAGCAGCAATGAGTTGTTATCATTTTTATTATTCCCATCCTCAAAATCCATCATAGTCTAAAATTTCTTCATTGGTTGTCTTTTGTTCAGACTCGTACTGCTCAAGTCTTTTTTCCAAATGTTTGATCAAATGTGCTTGGTCCTAAAAAGTTCAAGACGCAAATATTTCATTCTAATTTCTTGGTCACATGCTAGAATATCCTAAAAATTTGGATTGCGATTGGAAGCAAATTGTTTCTAATCTTATATTGGCCATTATTAGAAGCTGTGGAGTCGGGGAATACTTATAATGGAGCCGGAGAATTACCTTTGACTTCCTTTGTAGCAATTGAAAGTTTAAAAAAAAGGACGTCGACCGCACAGACCTGTCGTTATCATCTGATATTACGTCGCATAAATCTCTACCACGTCATCAGTTGCCACTTATATTATGAATGAGCTATTTAAAATTGGTTGAAGCGCGGTAAAAGCCAGACACAATTAATCTGGTAAAAGTTAGCGGAAAAATACCATACCCTAATGCCAGAACAAAGGACTTTCTAAGTCAACTATTGCAATGATTACACAGGATAACAGTGAACTACATCAAAGGTTAACCTTTTACAAAATATTAAAAAGTAAATACTCACATCAAGAGCGTAAACCAAGTTAGTAATTATACTTTTTGTAGCATCATCCACCAACATTCGATTGAGTTTGGCATTTCGTAAAAAAGATAAATGATCAACTTTTGAATACAAGGTGCATTTTTTATCACTTGCAGATGACGTAAGTATGAATCTATAATGCTTTGAATTCTTTATAGCTGTAATTTGAAAGTATAACGCTTGTTTTTGACTCCATAATTAATGTAGGAAAGTGGTAATAGTGGAGCAAGTTTATAAAAGGTTAATGTCAAGCTAAACTGAAAACTATTGTTGGATTCATGGCTGCTTTGCTCCGTCAATATTCACGATTTAATACAGAAATATTAGAATTCTGTTAAAAGATTAAAAGGGATTTTACTAACCACAACTATAAGTTTACACCACTTCACTTTTAAAGCAAGCAAGGTTACAACTTACAAAAAACTAAGAAGACAAAAATGATAAAAATCAGCAAATTGGAGATTTAAATTGAATCTATATACTACATTTCTTTAAAAAACCAATCCAATTAAACTTAACTGTCATGTGTACGTCTCGTACAATGCTGAAATAACATATTATCTTAGGATTTCTTCATCTCTACCACAGGGTCATTGCATTCTCTCTCTCTCTAATACAAAATAGTCTGAATATTGATTTACCATTTTGATTTATATCTTTGGCGTTATTAGAACAAATTCTCAGTTTCTTGAAGGTTTTTTTCACTTCCTCATCCTTGTGAGTATCCATTGCTTCATGTTCATGAGAGTAACGACGAAAAAAGAATCTGATTGGAAAAGTACTACCACTTGGATTGTATATTCCTAGAGAAAAAAAAAGAGCATGACCTGGGCACAAACTTTTGTATAACCGATACACTATAGGGAGATTATGAAAGAGATAATAGGCAATAAGTATATGATAATACAGGAATCTAGATAAGCATCAGGGACAACCTACATATCTACTAATTGACACAGATAACTGGGTGAGCAGAACATATTTCTAATGATATAATATAAAGGAAAGATATCAATGATGTTTAATGATGGAAAAACAGCGAATCTTCGTTCTCTCCTTTGTTTGCCAGTCCATGTCAGATATGGGCATAGCTAACCAATTACCATTCCAGTTTCATGTACTTGTTGTAACTGACCAGTGATTATGTGAACCACCATGCAAACCCACAGCATGTAAATCAGCATTATCAAGCATGTCACTAGTTCTATGGACGTATGGCATAATCAACCAGTTTCAATGTCTCTTAATCAATGTCTCAGATTCGAGGATAAATAAATTTATCCCAAGAGAGCAATAATAAGAGAATATTAAAGAACTTCCAACTGACATATTTCAAATTATTTATGTGTTAGATCTGAAGTATAAGCTCTGTACCTGCTTTGAAATAAGGTGTTTTTCCATAATCGTTTCTTCCGCAAGGTCCAATCCAATCTACAATTTTTTCACCATTCATCCAAACTCTAATCCAAGCATCAGAAGTTCTCATACCACCATTGTCAACTAAATGGAACCACAAGTCGACAAAAAAAAATTAATTAACGGTAAGTAAAATAGAGATTGAGATTGACAAGTTACAGATTCTATCTAAAAATAGTGGTTTGCTGAAGTAAAAAAGATTTACTGTCTGGCACATCAGAATGAAAACCTGGTGCAAACTGGAAGCAAAGCTGTAGTAGAGTCTGATAAAATTTACAATCAACTGAATCCTGGTTTAAAAATTATTTCAACTCCGGGTCCCCACGTGGCTCGGTCGTGTGGCGCATCGTGCTAAGTTTTAGGAATATTCTCACCACCGTACCTCTGATTAATTATGTGCGAGAGGATTGCTGAACTCCTCGCTGCCGTAGGGTGGTTCACATAACCGCTGGCCGGTTACGGCTTCCTCCACCATCAAGTCAATGCATCTGAGAACAAATAACTAACTACCAGTAACCCCATACCCGACATGGACTGGTAACCGGACGATAGGTCGTGGTTCGTCATATGATTAAGTCGTCTTATTGCCTTTCCTCTCCCCCAGAATAAACATGTAAATCCTATCTTATCTACTCTAGGGTAATAAAACTGTGGCATATGAAGCCTTCTTTGATAGACTGTTAAGGATGCATATTCAACTTAATTTTCTTGATTTTCTATAGAAAAATGTGAAACTACGGGAATTAAAATTGGTGCTCCTGAAGTATGCGCATCAAGATGTCGCATAACCTGAACCCTAACCTGGTACACAACCTGAGTTCAGGTTGTGCGCCATCTTGGTGCGCATAATTCAGGAGGTCCTTAAAATTTTTGACTATGACGCGCTTGAAAGTGTGACTTTACAGCCATGACAAGAAGGAAACAAAAGCAGGAAAATGGTAGTACCGTAATACTTACATTCAAGGCTCGATGAACTGTATTCACTCCATTTAATATCCCATCTGAATTTAACCCATTGATCAAATTTGAACTTTTCTGCAGGAAACTTCCAGATGATATTGTTCTGTAATTAGTTACAAATAATATCAGAAGAGGTAGGTGATAATATTTGAGGGGAAAAAGTAACGAGTAGGAGAAAACTGTCAATCTCCAGTGAAACTTTTAGCAATTCTTTTATACTGTCTTTGTCAACTTGTTTTCAACAAGTATTTACAATGTAATAACCACTTTGCATTGTGCTGACGGTTTACACTGCATGGGTTTGTATAGCTGGACTTCTCACCACTACTATTAAAGCTTCCTCCACCACCAAGTCTATGCATCTGAAACAAATACCTGGCTAACTAATCCCATATCTGACATGGTCTGGTAATTGGGAGTGAGGCTATGGAGTGACGCATATGATTAAGTTGACTTTCCTCTCTCCCGGGTTAATTATCAAAATCCTATTATCATTAAGAATAATACTCACATGCATTCTTGGGTGATGCACACAACGTTCGGTTTGGCCACAACCTCCCTTACCAATGAAGAGCATTTCATCAGATCGTGCAACAATAATAAACTGTTTTTTCTCCAATTTGAAACTCAACGGAGGATAACCCCCTTGGTTGTATCGAATTCCAATATAATGCCCATTTCTATCTAATATTGCTCCTGCAAAAAAGAAAAAAGTATTTTAGAGGTGTGAAATGGTACATACAAAACCTGAGATGTTATAAAATGTTTGCTTTGTGACAGCATGCCTTTTGGCCTAATCTAAATTATATTTATTTACATGGTGAAATAGTGAGAATAAATTAGCATATTGCATTCTATGTAAAGTTAAGGAATTGGATTGGAACTACTCGCACAAATTAAATTAAATTGAATTTTTTTTTTGTGGGTCGTACATCATTCAAAATTGGCACTTCTCCGCGGGCCGCATAAATTTTCCCTGAGGGCCGCATTTGGCCCACGGGCTGCAGATTGCACAACCCTACTTTATAGCATTGGGCAAATGTTTGATTACGAGCATTTATAATATAAGAAACAAAGCTATACCTTGTTTACATCTTCCTTTAGTACAAATCTTATGTAAATTTGAGATTGGAACTTGAGCTACACAACCCATTTCATCCTGCAGAATTGTTGGGTCCGGACTACCATGCCATTGTGTCAAAATATATTCACCATCAATTCTGAAGTCGGCTCTCGGAATGTAAATTTCATATTCATGTGTGTGAATGTTTCCAGGAGGAAGATTGATTATAGGGCAAGATGACTTTAACAAGTATTCTGCAAAAAGAGTTTAACACAATTCTATATTATATGTGTATATTTTCCTTCAAATTTATGTTCACATGCCATTTTTTCTTAGACCGGAAAAATTTGAAAATTAGGATGTAAAACACTTATTGTTGGATTATATACCAAGATTTTAAGGTTAAAAACTCAGTGGTGTGGTGAATGCTTAATAACTAATGATTTGAAAACAATTAAATGATGCATCATTCTTATTTATAAGCTCCATATTATAGGACAAGTTAGTATAGAATAGATTAGCAACAAACGAGGCCGGAGCAATCCATGTCTGTGTTTTCAACATCACAATTCACCAATATATGGAGAATTTTAATGCAGTGGTTTTCAAACTTTGTTGATCCGTGGCCCCCGAAGATACTCAAGACTTGTGACCCCATAATCTTATATAAAAATATCTAGCTTAGCCATTTTAATCAGTCATTTTATCCGCACCATTACATAATAATAAAAAAAACTAATGATTGAAAGTAAATGAATTACAATCAAAAAATTAAACAAATTACAGTCAATTTACTTTAATTACTGGTAATATAATCATTGTGAATCGTAACAAGTCAAGTACTTTGCTTATGGCCCCTATAGAACCACTCTGACACTCAGAGGACCAAGGGCCCAGTTACAGAAACCCTGTTTTATGAGATCTCCAATAAATTATTCTAGTATAATTGGAATAAAATAGAATCAGGCAATGAAGAACAATGAGTATAATTTACAATAGGAAAATGACCAGTACCCAGTTCCTCTGGTATTCGATTGTATCGAGAAATTATATCGTTAGTTGTGCTGAAACAAGTCACAATTTCCAATCGTGACTTTTTCCCTTCTACTTCCGGTGCAAACGTAAATCTGAGAACATAATTAAATAAAAAACCAAAATCAGTGGCAGAATTTAAATTATATATTGTCACGTCTGCATTATTACATAAAAGTTTTCTCTTTACAGACAGAAATTTAACAGGATCAAATAGGATAATTCAATATTGTGTGAGCCGCTAACCCCATATCTCATGTCAGGTAAAAATTGATTAATTTTAAACTCTACCCTCTACTTAAATGACGCAACCAACTTCCGGGATAGTGACAAAAGGAATTAGGAATGAAGTTAACCAGTCAAAAATAAACACTTGCCTGTAAACTTTTCCATTCGGTTTCATAGATTTCACATCATTACCAACATGTAGTTCTGTTTTTGAGCCAGACACGCCAGTTGATATAGCCACAAATGTATCTTCCAAAATATTATCTGAATTACACAAATATTGAGTTGAATTCTATTTTCTTAAAGTCTAAGCTGAGTCAGTTTTAAGTTTTTCAAAGTTATAAGCACTTTAAAACTTTTTTCCAAAAAATGTAATAAAAACTAGCAAGTTTTCACTTAATTTGAACCTTCGGAATATATATACTTTTTATGCTCATTTCCAAGACATGCTTATGAAACAATTGAATAAAGTAAAATTAGTTGATTTCTATTTTCTTGAAGTCTAAGATGAGTCAAGTTCACCCTTTTCGAAGTTATAAGCTCTTAAAACCGTTCTTCATCGCTCAATACAATGCAAAACAAAACCTTCTAAGTTACAACTCAAATTGAATACTGCAGTCAACCACCCCACAAAGGTAAAGTCTTTTCACTAAATTCACTCAAGCCATATTGAGTTATTATAAAATAAAATAAATGAGGGAAAAAAATAAAATTGAAGCTGATTTCTAGCTGTGGCTTAGCCGGATGGCTCAAAAGCTGATTGGAAAGCTAAATAGAAACACCTCGATAAATAAAGTAAGTATGATAGCACCATGAAATCCCCTTAACAGAAATCACCTTCATCAATGACTTCTTTAGTTGGTGCTTCATGTCTCCATATAGGTTCCCAATATATTTTGTCCATGGGTGTTTTAGCCCACTCTGTAGAAACAATTCAACAGAATAATTAGTGTTAACTATTCTTGAAAGACCAAAAAGATTTCAAGTGCCAAAAAGCAGTGAAACTTGATGATGAATAATCAGATACCGGTACCTAACCTATATAATTCAATTTTCAAAAAGTATATTCACTGTTATTCGAAAATAAAGATTCACCAGCTGATAATGAGCAACCTTCACTAAAATAAAGGATGAGCATGCAAAATTAATCGCAGTAAAATCTTTTTGATGCCTAGTATCGTGGCCCCCCATCAGGTCCTGAGGCCCCGGTTGGGAACCACTGTTCTAGGACATGACGGATACCGGTATATAATTATAGTGAGTAAGCAAAGTTCTTAAATTAAAGTTGAATGACTGTGCACATTTACAATACCGGTAGTGAAATTTATAGCACTTACGATGTTCATATTCTGATTCAATTCCATCACCAGATTGGCCTTCCTGTGCGTAGCCTGAACCTATATAAAATAAGACATGAACGCATTACATACAACTATGTCATCTGAAAATCTGGGGTTCAAATGCTGATCTTTCTCGTTTGGCATTGCCTAGCCAATTTATTACACCCTCGGTGAAGTAGAGAGAATGGGATTTGCACCTGAGATTTTACCACAGGCCATCATACTTTAGTCTGCACTATAGCATATGAAAAATCTTAATTGACATCGGGTAACCAGAACAAACAGTGGTCTATCATTAGATTAAGCCCGTTCCGCAGATTTCCTGTTTACTAAAATCCTACATCTTGAATTCACTACTAATACAATAATAAACTAGGTTGCAATCAGTTATGAATCTTAGACTTGAACCATCCCAGTAAAATAATTTTCAGGACAAAAATAATAGATAGACCACCATACCTTGATTGCATATTAACAGAAATAAAATGAAAAAACTCGTCATATGTTTACATATATGATACAGCAAAAGACAGGAGAAGATACTATCGTAATAATATCAATTACCATGAAGACGCTACTCAAAGGAAATCAATTACAAAACAGCTATTTATTAAAAAAAATTCATAAGGAAAGTTTAATCACCACCTGCTTTCCTTTAACGATGGATTATCACACATTAATTATTTTATTTGCAATAAATAATATAAATAGAGACATGGAGTCTGGAAACCCGATATCTGGCAAGACAAAGCTTGTTTAGACTTGAGTATTTGAAGTCAGACTATCAGGGGCTATATCTGTTATCTGGGGTTTATGATTTGAGTGGCACTACTTACCGGTTTCAGATTTTGGATTTTGTCCACTCCCATCACCTGATGCAAAACCATTTTTTCTATCTGTTGCATCTGTCATAAATGTTATATACATATATAAGAATCGTCAAACAAAAGAGTTAGATTTAACTGTGTTGGCATCGCGGGTTTCAAATCCCATGCCCATCACCTCACCAGGATGTAATAAATTGGGCACGGAATGCCGAACCAAAAAGCTTCAGGTTCTAATACAGAGCCTTCTTCAGAGCAAAATGCATGAATAAGCATTGCATAAAAAGTTAAGTTGATAAATCTTCATTCTTCAAACAATAAAAGCAAGATATATAAAAACATCAGAAAAGTCAAACATAAAAAGTTGAAACGTTACAGAAATATATTTGTGTTAGTGTGCAGCGAGACTCTTGAATTGCAAATTATAAAAAGTTGTACTACTAAAAATATTTGTCATATTTGAATCATGCATCTTTTTTATTTACAAACAAGTGGTTTCAATAATGTTAATGGATTATACCCGTGTGACAAGATGCTTTAGCACATATAATCAAATTTCATTTTTCAAATTGAATAGTCATGCTATTCAAAATAATTAGAAAGGAATGGCAAGGAGCTTGAAAAGTCGAGAATATTCAACACGTAGGTTGGAAGGAAATACTTTGCCTTCAAGTCGTACCAATGTTTCAGTCAACATGGACCTTTTGGCTCAATAAGATTAACTCGAGTAGTCAGACCTAATTGCTTGGCTTCTGCTGGTGTTTTCAGCCAGACAATCTACCTTTTACGTCATTATCACATACAGAATATTTTGCTCACCTTTTAGAGATTGTTGTTCTTCCCAACTTCCCTTTCCTGATGAAAAACCACTTCCTCCATTTTCTAAACTAGTCGTAGCTGTTAATGAAATGAATATTTTTAAAACTTAGGATATATTTTCATTGAACGATCACTGTACACTATGAAAAAACATTGTTTTCATTGAGAACAAGCTTGTTACAGCATATATACATTGTTAATATATTTTAATTTGCTGTATTATTATAACCACACAAGGATGAAATGATTGCAGTAAACCCAGAAAAATGACTTTCAAACATTAATAAGTTGGAAGTTATTTTGAACCAGTGAATTTAAGAACACAGAATATGAATAAAACACACAGAAGTATCCTATGTTTGTTTATTTATATTTGGAAGATATAAATGAAATTAAACATTCTTCCAACTAGAAGCGAAATTAAGCAGCAATGAAATTAAAATTATAATCTCATTTACAAGTACAACAAATCGTGAGATGCAAAATTGACAACATGTCATGTAATATTGATACCGGTAAGTTATACCTTGTTATACCTTCTGCTATACCTTGGTTTCAAATCAATCATGATGTAAAAATGATAGATGAAAATCAGGGAATGGTCAAATCACCAGGCAAAGCCGAAACGGAAACATTCCAGTCCTTCCACATAAGAGTAGTTCCTTACATATGAGTGGTTGCTTGTATAGGGACCTATTCGAAGCAAGTGTCATATATAAAAAAATATTCGGTGAACCTGCTTACCAGTGTCAAATTGTTGTTCGTCTCCACTTCCATTTCCTGATGAAAAACCACTTTCTTCATGTTCTGAATTTATCATAGCTGTTAAATATAGACAATATATATATGCTGCATTATTCATACATACTACGCAAATAATTACTGAATATAACCCAAATTGTTTTCAATTTTATATCAAGCCAATTATTTCAGAACCAGTTGTGTAAAAATCAGGAAGAAATCACTTACATATATCACATGAAACACCTGTGTATCCGAAATGACAAATACACATGTTGAAAGACATTGGAATTCCATTCACACATTTTTGTTGGCCTGTCTTTGGTTCATATGATTCATCCGATCCAGAAAAACCATGGCCAGCTGAAATTTTAGGATAGTTTGTACCTTACTAGTATTATTGAATAGCATTAAACATTGATTTTATTTAAATCATAAAGTGGGAATATGATCTATTCCTCTATCCCATATAACATCGTATAAAATGCTTTTGAATGTGATCGAGAAAGGAAAAATAGAAAACAACAGCAATTCAGCGCCTGTGGTCTGGCATCGCGGTGCAGACAATACCGGTATCGGTACTCTGTAATAAAAATTTAAAACACCAGCAAACCTGAATTGCAGGCTCTCTCAATCTCGTCGTGGCTGAGGAACGAATTCACTACATTATATTGTATTTCAACGGAGCACAGAAGTAGTGCAACTATAAAGCTATACCCCAAAAAACATCGCATGCCAAGAATAAAATAAACTTGCACTGATCTTAATCTTGAAACCAATGATGGTACGATATGTACTGTACAGGTACAATCCCCGAGAGGTAAAGTTCCAGGACTGCGATCCAGAAATTACGGGGAATTCCCTATTTCAACCTCAGCTTACCGATAAATAAAAAAGCATTATCGCTAACGATTGGACGTGCTACGTGTCGTCCACTTGAAACAACTGTTAAGTGAGACAAAATTTATGTTGGCATGTGTGTTTTTGTATTTATCGCCGAGTGAATAAAATTGCATATACTGAATCAAAAAGTGTACCATAATCTCTGGCTCGTTACCAGTGGCTCGGGTATGAAAATTTATTACGAAAATATATTCCGAGTTTATCACTACCAATCATGCAAGAAGCATGCATGTAGGAAAGTCGATGTTCGGTAAAACATCCATGATTTCAATTTGGTTATTGCTTGAAAATGGAAGAAGACGCTAGCAAGTTATCAGTAGGCCTATCACCTTCATTTTTTCACCAAGAGAATTTAATAATAACTCACCAAAAACAGTGCGATTTCTAAAAGCGTCGCTTACCACGTGACTTCTTGACTAGCCCGCGATCTATTCGGCAAACCCGGCGCTAAGTTAACGCAACGAGACCTGAATTGAATTACTGTATTCGAACAAATAGATTTCGCCACCCGATCTTGGTGTCCAGATATTTGACTATTGCTCTCTTGTTTACCTGATGATACATCAACGTGGGTCTCGTTCATTGACGAATGATCTTTTCTGACAGGAGTTTTCCTCGTTGAAGTATGTGCTTCGATCATCATCGGCACTGATGAACTTTGTCCCAATCCGGTTGTATCCGAATCCGCCCCATTCTTAGTCCAAAAGAATAAAAATATATATTATAGAAATCTACCAAAATGTAATGCTGGCGGAAATCGCAATTTTCAGTTAAAGGATCAAACTCAAGAATAATTGAGGTAAGTTGCATGCTGAATATTACAATAATTTGAACTGGGTAGGATTTCAAATGTAAATTTCATAAAATTGAAAGTTAGAACATTCCGATGAGACGAAACCAACATTAGTAACTACAAATCATATATTTATATATGTTTTTTCAATCTCCAATTCCACCGCAATTCAGATTCCTACCATTCAGACTGTGCCTACCATTGAATTGAAATTCGCAGAATCGAATTCCTGCTTTTCTACGTCAATTTGTTCGAAATAACCGTAAGGATTGTTTTCGAATGTGTACTTCGGATCAGGCTCATCAAAGTCGTAATCGAGAAGATTAGAGAATAGTGAAGTCGTCAGCTTGTGCTTTGGAAGCCGAAGCTTATTATTGATTTCTGTAATAAAATAGGTTACATATAGTATATATATATACTCGTTGCAGTGGGTCAGTCTGAAGTGATATATATTGATTGGAAGGCCGAAGAGAGATAGTTTTTTTTTTATATAAAATTCGGATCAAAATTCTACTGGGAGCCGACTCATTTATATGTGCGAGCTATAATCTTAGCTTATCTATTTACTTGTTATATACATATATATACTGTATATATATATATGTGACAGTCTATGATAGTCGTTTACGACTTCCTTCACAATCGAACTAGAGGTAAGATCGTGCCAAAAAATTCCCAACTCGCCCGAGTCCGACTAATTAAATGAGTCCGAAGCAAACCCGAAATCTCATATTTTATTTGGGATTTCTTTGAATTGTCATTGCAAGCGTTTAGTACAGTATATATGTGTATTATAACAAGTATTCCCTAGTTTAGTATCCACACACAGTTTTAGTATATATTTTTTATAAACATATATTTATTTAAATTATATATATATATATATATATTTATTCGGACTCGGGCTTGTGCTTCAGATCTTAGCTCTAAATCGAACCCCATAATTATGGAACAATTAGGACTATTTCCATACGTCTGACAGACTAAGATTCACCATATGATTAACCCGTCTAAGTGTCTTTCCGTCAGGATAAATAAACGATTAACAGTTTCTGTTGATGCGTAAATATAGCTGACAAGTTGATCGTATTATAGATCGGCGAAGCGGGAATGCGCCCTGTTGCTTGTTACATTATTTTTAATAAATTAGTTCGGAATATTTGCTCGCTAAGTAAATACAAACCTGTGCAAAATTTCCCATTGAAACCTGGGAAACATAAACAATCACCATTTGCTTGCAAATACCCATTGATACAAACGTTGTTTAGAAAATTGTCCTTTTCTTTGAACTTATATCCGCTAGCACAATTCATCGTATCTAGCATAAAATATATGCAGGTGTTAAATAGACAGTAGGTGCAATTGATTTAGATATAATTATAACCATGTGCACGTAATTTCGACAAAAATTATAACCAGGGGACTTACCGCATATTATCAATAGCAGAAATACATATGTTGCATAGTAATTTAATAAACCAAATTTTATTGATAAAGAATTCATTGCAGAAGACGTACCTGAAAATAAAAAATGGTGATTTTTAAAATGAGAACAAAACACACTGATTGTAATTGTGCAATATATACATGAATTGAAGCGCATTCATAACAATCTCATACTCGAACAATCGTGGTTTCACATCAGGAAATACTTGTGTCCGATTGATGTAATTTACCGGTAAGTCCCATTTTACGTGTGGCAATGGCGCCACGAACGCCAGTATAAAAATGTTCCCAGATAGTTTTTGAACTAGAGTCAAAGTATTCGAGTTTTCGACCAAATCCAAAGAGGAGTTTTCGCAATACAAATGAAGATAGAAATAAAAATAGCTATTACGACATTTTCTCTCGAACCCAATTTTTTTCGATAAATTCCTTTCTTTGCCTCCTCATTACGCATAAAAACTATGCTTCCGTTAATTGTTCATTTTTTGATGAATCCTTTGCTATAGTGCTATGCAACTCGCACCCTGGCTTTTGCACAATTTGAATAGTTTACATTTACAACATGTATCTCCACAAAAAGGGTATTACAATGATACTAAATATCTAAACAATCCTAGTCAAACGATTCCAAATAAAAAGAGATATTTCCTTCCCAAATATTCCTGATTTCTTCCTGGTCTAGTTGCTCTAGTCTAAAACACAATTATCGAGAAATTGAGATGAAAGTTAACTCGCAGCTCAGTTAACATAATAATGTAATAACGCTCAACTTCATTTACTATTTACTATTATCTCACTACTTTATTTAATTGTTTGAAAATTCATTATATACAAAGGATATACTGAACAAACGTTGCTAAATATATTTCTACCTTTAGAATCCTGCTATTTTTGTCTGTAGACAATTAGGAAATCTAACCTCACTCACAATATTTTGTTTTCAAAAAAATAGAAATTCCCTAATAATTATTAATGAAGATTTACAGCTCAATTATTTCCAACAAACAAAGATAAGCCTTGTTTTTAATATCTGTCTAGAACTCCGGTCTCCGTCGTGTTAAAATTAAATCCATTTTTATTTTTTCAGTCATCATCCACAGCCTAATTAAATTTGTACATGTTCCATGTTTTACGGGTACTGGAAACCTACTCAAGCTTATTTCAGCAAGTGTTAGATCAATTGGCTCAATTGGTGCGATTGAGGAAACAAGTGTGGCATAGCAATGTTGGTGTTTTCACAATTAATATTTGTGACATTTGCCACAGCGGCTTAGTTTTTACGTGCGAGTTTGTTCAAATCAAGGTTGCAGGCAAGTTGGTCTTATCTTTTGATTGGCTTTATACGACTACACGGGGCCAACTCCGGTTAGAAATAATAATAATTTAAAATTCACAGATTGTAATGAAAATTGTGCCTGTGTTTACTTTCTACTGAAGTACAAAATCCCGACTAAGATAACTTTCTTACACGAGCCTTGCGCGTAGCGCATTTATGCAGTATGTAACAAAGATTATACATGTTTATAATTTACATGGTGAAATTCAATAATCTAGTCGAGACCTAAAATTAGCGCGGTATCTACGGAGTTTGCCATTCATTTTCTGTATCATGGCCGCGTTCAAAATAAACTATCTATCTATGTCCTATGAAGAAGCTCAAAGAGATAGCCTTTAATCGGATTTGAAGCTTGGGAGCATTGCGATAATATTATGTCGGCGACATACACGTAGAGGTAATAGAAATACAGACCCGCGTCCGAGAAATTTAACGACTTTGTATGACAATACGATATTGGATGAACGATCCAAATAGTACATCCAAATTGATGCAGAGCGCCAGTAGATGTACATCTTAAACTATAGATAACGACACTAATAGAACTAGATAGCCTCGCATATAAAGATACAGTTACCACACCAGCATACAAGGAGGGTGGTATGTGCATATTGATGCATACCGACTGACACATACATGCAGATTTTGTTGATTGCAGGCAGACAAACTGTGAGCGGAAATGAAAGAAGCAAATGATGGAATGCTTTTAAAGTAATCCATTACAGAAAGCCGAAGTTTCCGACTGCGACCTGATTGTCGAAAGGGAAGTATTTATCTCTGACAGACAATCATACTGATTGGAGGCAGCGCACCTGGCTTGCTCCATTCGTTGATGCAGTAATGTAAAAGTAGATCATTCTTCTGTATGTTTAAGACAGCATTTTGTCAATTATATTCAATTAAATATGGGAAAAATGACTTTGGAACAGTTGTTTATCAGATTTATAATAATGATCAGTTACCTTGTCCAAAGTTCTTGTAGCGTTCGGGAAATCTACGAATACTGGAAAGTGTTATTATAATAATAGTTTTGGTACCAAAATACGCCTGTCAGTCCCATTACCAGTCAGTCCAATCAATGTAACTATACACCGAAGGGCCAACCATGCACGACTGATCACAATTCAACCTAACAATAAGTGAACTAATCTAGTATACCGCTGCTATCATTAAACACGAAATGGATCTATGGATCGTTTGTTATTGATCGCGTTGTTGGTGTTCCCTTTTATTCCTCTTGTCGTGAAACAATTGCTTTTCTTATTAACTACTGGACCAATTGCTTTGAACTTTTCAGTGATTAAGAAAAGAAAAAGAGGCAACGGCAAGTCTCATTGATGCGAACATTGACCAATAGTCTTTTTTTTTTATAATAAGAATGTAATGTCTGGTACATTGATTCAAAAATGCCCGCCATCCCTGCTGTACACTAGTAAGTTATGACTAATTCAAGAATTCTCGATTCTAATCCAAATGGAGTCATTCCATTACAAACTCCTAATGGATTGCCAGGATTAACGCATACCTAAATATCTTTCCTTTCCGATTGTTATTTATAACAAGCTTCCCATATGCAATTCAGAATAATAAAAGCTGGATTTTAAGAACAACAAAAATTGTTAACTTAACTATGGTCCAGGACAAAACGAAAAATGTTTTGCCAGAGATGTACCTATATATAGGAATGCGAACACGTTCGTCCACTTCTCCCAGAACTAAATCTGTACTTCGAACAAAAACGCTACGTTTTTAAGAGAAGTTATACATTCAGAATAATGTTTTGAGAGCGTCATATGACTTTTGCTAACTTTTTTGTACACGAAGTTATTATACGCATGTTTTCTTGTTGATTATTTTGTTGTTATGAAAAAAATCGCCTTTCTCTTCAATTATTTGACCAATTGCTTTGAAATATTCAGTAGATAAAGATTGGATTTTTGGCTAGAAAGCTATTACTTTAAGATTGCCGTTTCGGTAGCGTACAATGACAGATTACGGTATGTACTTTGTTTTGGATTTCGTGTCCATATATTTGAGCATCGCTCTCTGGTTGAACATGGAGTGTGGATGGATGGACCTATGGATTGTTTTGTTATTGTATGTTGTTGTTCTTTGTGTTAAAATTTTTCTCGCTTCCCTCTTTGATTACTGAACCAATTGAAATTTTCAATGGTTGAAGATTGTATTTTTTGCTAGAAATCTATTACTTTTATTTATTTCCAATATTTCTGTGAGTGAGCTCTATGGGATTCGTTTTTGTGTGTGCTGTGACTTCATCAAAATTTGCGCTCCTTATGTCTGCTTCGCGAAAGCATATCAGCGAACCTCGTGCTCAGCGAACGTCGGGGGATCTCGGTAGACTGCGGTACCTGATCTGATAATACAGAAGTGACTTAGATCAGTTGGTATTTCAATTCACGTTGGAACTGAATCACGAAAAATGGATCATCGTCACAGGACCTGGAAAAGTTAGGACAGTCCCTATAACGTTGCCGGTACCCTGGGTAGTCGAGATGTCTCTGGTAAGTTATCCGTGTAGTCGAGTTGTCCGCCTCCCGATGCGGCTGCTGGCAGGCTACATTAACGAATATGATTTTTGGAAAATTGTGGGCGAAATATTCTGTTTTGGTCTTTGTTTCCATTTATTTGACCATGGACCTTTGACCCCCGAAAAATTCTTCCTATACTTTATCATTGCCAAAATTTCGGGGCTATTTTAAGAGTGCTTTTGCGAGTTGGCGCCTGTAAAATGGGGTATGCGTTTCAAACCATCATTATGATTCATCGCATACAACAATCTGATTTTTAAAAGTACCGGTAAAAAATTTAGCCTAGTCAATCACAGCTATTTCTACACTAATTTTTTATTACTGCAATTAAATTACAACTCCTAGGAAGACAGAGTGATCATTGAATTATCTGATTTATATTTAAGTTTCCGAAACACAACTGAAAACCAACGAATAGAGTTCAAAAACGAGGTAATGTTTACGACCACGCTTGAAAATCTGTCTGAGTGAGAAAAGTGTCTGAGCGGATGCGAAAAGGGAGCATTGTTACGTCACTTTTCGCATCTTGCTGATTGGCCAATGTCACCAAGTAAACAAGGAAGTCGATGCTCGGGGAAATGTTCATTGCTCTCATGTTATCGATGAGGAAGTAAATGCCTACAGGAAACAGTTTAATTGCCGCACGATGACATATGAAATATCCAAAGCTTTATACTGTAACTGTATACGTCACCATCGCCCAGTATTCCAAAAAAAGTGTTGTTGCAAAGCAAAAAAAAAAAAAAAAAAATAGACTAATAATAGGACATAGTGCTTTTAAGGAGGTGGATAAGCTTGGGGTTCTTCGACGAGTTATGTAAATATTTTGGCAAGTCCACAAACAAAACAAGTTTCGCGCACCCGTTCTTGTTTTAGACGTTAGACGACTGTAGAAAGTGGCCGACGACTGTCATTGCATTTGACCTTTTCGAAAGTTGTGTATCAAATTTATGTAAATCGTGTCATGTTTTTGATGATTATGCTGTGACACATATATTTTCCAATATTAGGGAACCTATTGTTGTGGGCTCAACAAAAAAGAAAACCGGTTCTTAAAATTATGGATCCCATCAACGCAAATATTCTTTCATGCACCTTTGCCATTCATGGCCAGTTTGTCTGCCCAGTTGTGAGGAAAACCGCGAAGTAAAAATCAAGATAACATGGCTCAAAATGTATCACATTTTTGTGAATTACAGGAACTTCGTACACTTATCTTTAATTGCTGTTCTCGTTTTGTAAGATCTTCTTTCATGCTTCTTCAATCAAAGATGAAAAGTCACTTAGAATAGTTATCGAAACGACTTGCAAGGTTGAAGCTATTTATATACAAGCCTGATTTGAAAAGAGTGAAATGAGTTATCGAAATTATTGGGTATATCTGTACTGTTGGTGTTCCAGCAACGTTGAGGTCACAAAAGGCAGTTGATATACAGTTAAATGGGTCAGGAATCGTTAAAAACTCATATTATTGTACAAATTTTATACAAAATCAAGGCGACCGATATATTCTAACTTATCGCCAGAATGAAGCAGAAATATTTTATGAATATATACTGACGCATCTTGTTGAGTAGTCCCATAAGCATCCCAACACAAGTTTTGTGTATGACGTCATCAAAATTAAATAGTGTGTCACCATCGCATTACAGACCTGGTGGTCAGCTAAGTCCGGAGTTTTTTGATAGGGAAACTAGGATTTTTCAAATGGTCTTTTTACACTTAATCAAATATTATGACATTCGAAAAGATAGAGGTGTCTTAACTAAGAATAGAAGAAGACAGTAAAATTTTCTTTTTTTTCATATACTTTCTCCCCTAGATTTTGAAGAATATACCTTCATGAAGAGCAATCAGGATGGATTTGCGCGTTAAACTTCTTCATAAATCCAACGAGTTTAGATTCTCTATCAAAAAAACTTTTTCTGAATGCGTAGAATTGGTAATTATTAGTATTATATTTACTTGTGTCCTACGCTTCACAATATGAAATTTTTGAATCAAGGTTAGTGAATGTGAAAAATCTGGCAACGCCTTCATGAAACTAGACGACGCATGTAAGTAGTAGGCGACAATAGGAACAGTATGTACAAGATTGAAAAGGCTTCCAGTTTAAGATCTTTTATAGTTATTAAATGTGAAAAATGGATATTTCATTAACCGCTGTATGCGATTTATAGTTCATTCTCTTCTTCCGCATTTGAAGAGCGTTACTTCGCATTTGTCGCCGCACAGACTGCGGAAATGAAGTTGCCTCAAGAAGAGGGACTTTTGCTAGAAGAGAAATAAAAGTAATAAATATACTATAGAAATAAGACTGTACCATATTGTGCGTAACGATCATAGATAGTCTGTTTAAGTCAGTTCGAACTAAAATTGGGTTGTTCGCTAACAATACAATCATACGAAGTGAAAGTGGTATAGAGCAGGGGTTCTCAAACTTTTGATGTTGCGGAGCCCTTGAAAAGGTTGACCATTATTCACGGAGCCCCAAAATAAATGTTAAAATTGTTACTTTCCAATTAATATTCCTGAGTAAGTTAAAAGTACTTTACTTAATTTGAATGCAACACCTTTTTAATAGGGTTAATACAAGTCATAAATGAATCTAAATTTCAAAGATAAATTATATATACTAAAGCTATAAATTTGACACTTGACAAACATATTAATAAATTAGGGGTCGAATCTTTTCCCTTTTGACATTTTTGGAAGACTTAAAAGGCGCTAAAAACGCGCGCGATTGCATTTTGTTACAATCGCCGATTGTTTTCGTCAGTATGGCGTGTTTTAAACCTTAAACATCTTTACGCCGATGTTTATTCTTCCTAAATCAAAAATTTCCATCCATATACGTGTATTGTTCCACAATGACAACGATAATTGCTTTTTTGTTTTCGTGGGGAATTATGAGTTCAATGTGAAAAAACATGTTATCATATTATAGTCATCGGCGACGAAATACTAAAAATAATAATTAATAAAGAGGTAAATCCGCGACTCGAATTTCTTGATTGGAAAGCGGCATTCTAAAATATTAAAACTGAAACTTAAATGGGAGATAACACTATAAGTGTTGTTTCAGCAGACTTTTATAGACATTGTGAATCACAAAATTTAGTTTTATGTTTACTTTGGTTATTCATCATAGTAACTGCGAAATCGAAACACAGTCAATTGTTCATGCGTTGTACCTTTTAGCCGCATGCAATAAAATAAATTACAATCGTTCATATTTTGCCCAGACCTTGGGTATTTTATGTTATTGGACACGTTTAGTGGCCATAACGATCGTTTCAATATTATTATGTTGTTGTTGTTGTTCTAGTTCTTTGACACGTTTTTAAAAAATCGCTTTTCTCTTCGAATACTGGACCAATTGCTTTGAAATTTTCAGTGGTTAAAGATTAATTTCTTCGCTAGAAGGCTATTACTTTTATTTATTTCAAAATTTTGCGTGAATTCTATGAAATTTGATATTTCGTCTAAAATTTTGCTGTATTATTTTTTATCCATGGGAACACGGATTTTAGTCAGTGTCATGACTGGCTGTACGTTTTGATTCGGCAAAATTCTTGCTACTGGAAATTCAGAACTTTTTTGAGGGTACCGGTAGCGTCAAAGGTACCGGTAAAGACTGATTCGCTCTGGTCTAACGTGTCCATATATTTGTGCGTAGCTCTCTTGTTTTAGAATAGTATTCTTTCATTTTAGTAATCCTAATAGTAATCTCGAATCAAACGTGAGTGACGATGAGCACAATTAGAATTATTACGACAAGGCACTTTAAATGCAATTTAAATGAAGAATGTTGCGTAGAAATTTCCAATTCCAATTTTGAACCCCTCCCTCTTAAGAATCCTGGCTGTGCTCCTACTTATAAATAATGTCATTTTTTAATTCCGCCTTTTTGCCATATTTCGAGGCTATATTGTTGTCCAATTTTATCAAAGCTGTTATTGCTTCTTTGAACAGTTACAAAATTAGCCAAGTCAGTATTTTGAAAAGTAACCGAATAGCTCGCGGAGCCCCTGGGTTTCTCTCGCGGAGCCCTGGGGCTCCGTACGGAGCACTTTGAGAACCTATGGTATAGAGAAACTGTGTTTATGGTAACGTTCTCCATAAATCGATTTTTCATTCACTATATTTTAAAACAATAATTTTACCTCTTCGATTTGTGTTTCGTCATGTTGGTCGCATCGATTTGTGGTGAGATACAGGTTAGAATGTCCACGTCTTGTCGGTCCGATACGTCCTGAGGGAAAGCTCATTTGAATACATTGTTGTAAGGATGACAACAGGCAATGTGTAAGTTACACCTATTTGCTCTAGTAAACAACCGATACACGGCTAGGCTAAGTGGTTTCGTGAAGACGTGTTTATAACGTAACTATCCACATTGCACAAATCTAATACCCATTATAGTAAGAGGTCTGTTAAGTCAGAAGCGCTGTGGAGATGAATGAAAAATTTACATCCGGATCCGACTAATTTGGAAAACAGACTCCAGCCACAGATTGTCAAAACAACGAATCCGACTACCAGCCGAACACAATTTGAAATACAGTCTGATCTGTGTTCGATTCAATACCCTCGAAAAACTCATATATACATATATATTATAAATCTCTACTGAACACTTAGATCTCGAATTTGAGCATTGCTGAACTTTTCAATACTAACACGTTGTGGTGTGTATTAAACTCTAGCTAAAGACTCCATAAAAAGATAAACGTTTATATATTCTTACGTGTACATCTTGCAATAGCACTGGGGTCGTCTACAAATCCCCCGCTCCATCGATGTAAGTTCATTGCACCACACACTTCCCATATTCGATAGTATCGCATAGGATTCACAAATTCGTAACCCTAAAAAACGTATTGATTTTCGTTTCTTACTTTGTAAGATAAGGCTGGAGAGATAGAATGCTATATCTAGGCCACATATTGTATAAGTATATGGAAAAGATTAAAGAACTGTAGGACTTACCGGAAGGCACATTGGTTTGCAATAAGTAACTTGCTTCGGTCCATGTTTTCCTATATTTGCACATAGTAGGGCTCCGTTCACGGGCGCAGACGGTTCGTCACATTCACCTTTAAATGATCACAATCGACATTTAAATGTTCTCTATCGAAGAGTGATATTTCAGTTAGCAACTGAAATCATTTCTAATGCGTGTGTATATTCAATATATATCTTTATTGTTGGCTGGATTTTGGGGTCAGTTTTAAAAAATGGATTAGGGATTTAGGTTTCACGCTCTTACCAATGTCCTCACAATGCATTTTCCGACTGCTCAGACACGTGCATTCAAATCTTAAGTTAGGCAATGTTTCATGGGTTCGGATCCATTTTTCACCCGCTACTCTGATTGTTCCGTCAATGTTATCAATGCACCGTGGTCCTGAAAAGATACAACAATTGTTCGGGTTTGTACACAATTCAATACAATATGGTGTTCAATATTTTTCTGAAAAAAATTCAAATAATGGAATTAAAAAAAATTATTGAGTGGTCCAGTTGTTCTAATTCTGTGCAAAAGATCGAGTGAATAGTTTTTTTCTGGTAAAATTTCACTCCACACAAGTCACATGCGCTCATTCACCGCACCACATCGGCAATACATTAACTGCCAATAGCTAATAATATATATGAGCTATTAGGAATCAAGGTAATCAGTCTGATATAGAAAATACAGATCAACGCTACCTTTGAAACTGTCCCAGTCAATATGCCCAGAAAGTAGCTAGGATGTACGAAGTCCACATAATTGAAGGAAATTGTATATTTATACCGTAATTCTTACTTGAAAAATGTTACAAAAAGCACCTAATATTTTAAACTTATTCTTAAAACTTATTTTTTGTAACAAACTTACTTCGCACTCTTCTGCAATATACGTCTTCGTGTCCTCTGCAAAAACATTCGAACTGCTGACTCGGAAAATGTTCACGAACTTTTAACCACTTTTGTCCTACTTCACGATATCTACCATCTGCTGATACGCAATGAGGTTCTAAAGAGGTAATATAATAGGCAAATATACATAAATAACCACAGCAACATGTTGACAGGCTTAGCCGGTGATACGCAAATTTTTTGCGACCGATACCTTTGCGTTCAGTCCATCTACTTCTGTGATGTGACAACCAAAACAAGAATGTACGTATATGTTAGCATAAGCATACAAAAAGGTATGACGTGCATGTCAACTAAAACACTTTGTAATCTAAATTATGGCCTTAAAATAGGTTTCATTGTTACCTACCTATTTTATCGATTATCCGCGCTGTTTTACATTTGACGATTGCGTCGGTACATGTACATTCCTCCAGTACTCGAACACCAAATGCGTTGATTTTGGTTTGATTCCATACAACACCGCTAGTGACAACCTGAATGATTACAAACAAATGAAATGTTTATATTTCATGCATTGAAATTTATTGAAAATTGTCTGTTAACGTAAAATTAGTTCTAAACTCAACAAGTTGTGAAAAAGCCTACTTTTGCTCCCGTTCTGCATGCTTGCAACGTCGTGATATGTGGCCTCTGCACATTTCCACCGTGTATGACGTAATCTTCAACCCAATGTGCATCTTCCTGCGGACCAGGTAAAACTTCTGAAAAGTAATAGAATAAACAACGGGTGGCATACTTCTGGGATGGATCTGATTTATTGTAGCATGCGTATATCTCTTTGATGAATATCCTGCATGGGTTCGCAAGTTATAATCTAGCGGAGTATGTAATTGTTCCAGATGTTTCATGACCAACGTTCCCTCTAAGAGCTTGCTTAGTTGCGCGGAATAGAAGGCCATGTGAGTTCCAAAAGGTCTGCGCGGAAAATTAGAAAAAAATGGGGAAAAAAACACAACGTTTTAAAGTTTTAAACGAACACAGAATTTATTTATAAACTCCAGTGCGCGCAGAACTTAAGTACGGCGCGGGGATTCTGAGCAGCTTAGAGAGAACGTTGATCATGACTCGTCGCCGTGGTAAGCAGCGTCATTTATTTTCAACCTCCATGCATATGTAACTAGCTAGCTTTTCCCAATGTTACGACTAGGCTAGAGGCCGTGGTCAGCCAAATGATTAGGTCGCCTTATCAACTACTTTGGAGAATATACAAAAAGGGTTTTCCGGGTTGTGTGAGTTAGGGTGAACTAAAATATGGGAATACACAAGCAATTTCAAACCTTCATGTTGGCATTCCAACGTCTTCTTCGCGAGACAAGTGCAAACCATTCGTCTTCCGTTGATTGTGCTGGTCGTGAACATAAAACCTCTGGTGTACGATACGCCATCATGGTGACAACGATCTGTGATCAAATTTAGTCGGACAAAATTAGTTTTTATTTACTTAATACCTATATCACTAATAGGTGAAATCCTTAAATTTTATGAACAAGGTCATCGCAATTCAGCATTCATTTTGTAAAATAGTAAATCATTACATTTTCATTTCTAATTTACAATGAATAAACACTTACTTTCGTCGCTGCAAGAAATTTGCATTCCAAGTGATCCTCTTTTACATACACAGTCGAATATTTTTCCATCTCTTATTCTTTCCCATTTGTCACCAACTTCTTTAAGCTCTCCACTCACACTGTCTGCACATTTTGCGTCTTCGGGAGCTGAAAGATAAATGGAGTTGTTTTTCTTTAAAATTACTGATACCACTAATTGAGAAAATTAAGAAACGACGCAACCACGGCATTCGATTCTTTATTTCCGTTTGGTATAAGGCATAAGTTATCGAACAAATGGATTCCCCTAGTCCAGAGCTATTTCATCGCAGAGTTGTTTCTCATTGGAGCAGAAGGTTTGGCGTCAAACACGTAAACTGTAGTGAACTGTGAATCACGACCACAAACCGCTAACATGTTTTCCCAATTCTCACCATGGGTTCACAGCGAACATTGATTCACATTTTACGAAATTTGGTCGTTAAATATTATCTATGAATAATTTTTCTCGAGAAGGCACGTTTCTTTGCCAACTTACGCGTGATATGAATCCAAGTGCAATCCAGCCTACCGTCATCAAGGCATGTGCAATCAAATCTTTTCGTTTGTACATTAAACGTAAGCTGCTGTCCTGTATCATAGTATGTGCCACGGTATCGACATCGCCGAATCTTTGAAAAGGAGGAATAAGATTAATAAAGGGCTCACTTTCAAAATAAACCGGGCACAAGATTCGTAAACGTTTCCATATGGTTTATAAATTGGTAATTTTGAAATATTGAACCAGCGACCAAAACAAAGACGGGCAGTAGGCTACTCTTCCAGAACTCATTCGCGAGAAATATTAGAAGTAAACCTATTTTTTCTTAAACGTATATACCAACGTCAAACGGCAATTCTAAAAATTTAACTTGTGGCCTTGCTTAAAAAATATTACAAATAAAATACATTGAAATGCTGACACTAAAATATAACAGAATAAATAAAAAACTTACTGGACGTCGTCCTCGCCTCCCAGTCCGTGATAAACTTGTTGTACTTCCAAATACTAACAACTGAATTAGTACAAACGCTACTATTACTCCTTGTCGCATATTTGGATCTAAAAACGTCTATAATGTTATAATTTGAAACATGTTCCAATTTTGAAACTTTTAAGGCTTAATTCCAGTCGAGGAATCTTCAAATTATTCATTCGCAATGGGCGTCGAATTTGGGTGAATGTTTTAATATACTACACATTTCTGCTGGGTGGATAAATTTCGATTCTGAATTTATCTTGTAGGCAAATTGTGCAACAAAATATTTAACTTCTCGTTGTTGCAGTAGACCAGATGCTATTCTTAACCCCATTCAGAACGATGTCATCCCCACCCTTTCGCATCCGTAACTTTTGCTACAGCAATTGTTGTCTCTTGTAAAAACCTATTTTTATGCCCGCCATTTAACAAATCATTCTCATCGTCAGCCCTCCCATACTTTGTCTCATTTCCTCTTATTCTAAAAACCGCAATGTACTAGCTAACTCGTTTGCGAGATAAAAATAGATTTTTCGCATACAAAAAATCTACCTGTTGCACTTGAGTGCATGAATGTTATGCTCGAAACGCAACCACCATAGCGCGAACAACAAAGCTCCGTACTATGTGCGTGAGTTGTTTGAGAGTCACGGTTTTAAATTTATGAAAGCCTTGCAACAACAATACAACAGCAGGAGGCCTTTCGAAAATGTTTGTTTTGAAACTCGCACGGAACCCATTTTCGTAGCGGGAAATTGATTCACAGTGAATAGTCACAGAAAGTCGGTTTATATAATAATATATAAACGTTGGAGAACGAATATACTAATTCCCTTCTTGGCAGTGAAAATGATTGATTTACTAAAGACACGACTTAAAAACATATCACGGAGTTTCATTTGAATCTTGAAGGACATGATTTAAGTGAAGTTATGCCATAATTATTTCACCATATTACTACGAGTACAAAATTATTATAATTAACGAATGAAAACAGGACGGAGTTTTAGAGTATGATTTTGGAAAGAATGTGTACTTACTAAATGCGTTAGCCCCGTGATTATGATGGCCTAGGTACATACAGCCTTGCTTGAATCCGAGTTGAACGTGTGAAGCAAGGCGTTAAAATTTGACTGTTGGTACTAATGGATTGCCGTAAATCTGATTTTAATTTTGGTACAGACTTCAGTATGACGTAACAATGAAAATGTGTAAGATGATGAACTCGAAAACGACAGAAAGTAAAATTAATTTCGATTGTTGGGATGACTTTCCGTCATGTCGACTACGAAGCCTGATCACAGGAGACGCGGGGCGGTAATTTCACAAGATAACGAAGACAAAGATATTTATGATGATTTGGAAGATGACGAGAACGATGAGCTTAAAGAAGAACCTGGGTAAATAACGTTTGTATCTATATCTAGCCTACGCCCAAAAATCAATTAACATTATTTTTGATTCCCGGGAAATTCTGCATCAAGTTGAAAAATACTTTTTAATAAAATAATTCGATGTTCTCCTTCCTGCCTTGCCATTCGGATGCTTTTAACTACGAAAAAAACATATTAATTAATATACAAAATTGTAGCTTATTTTTGAAGAATTGGAAAAACGCTTTTAATTTATTTACTCTCCAGTCTGCATTTGTGTTTAGCATAGGGTGACGTTCTTATGCAGTAGGGTATTAAATTTTAGCTTACATTCATTACCAGATGCGATGAATGGAGAAAAGATAAAGTTGTACACGATTTTGCATCTGAAGTTAGCGAGAGTTCAATTTTCAATGGCGCCATAATGCTCACAATTCTTATCAACTCTGTTATTATGATGTTAGAGGTCAACGATAGTTATGAATCTCTCCGACCGCTATATCCCGTGAGTTTGCCTAACTTTCGTAACAAATTTGTATTGATCTTTGCATATATATGTTGCAATTTAAGTATATACGTCAGAAAGTCGTCTTATATCAATATCTTTTTTGGACGCATAATCCATACACAAAGCAAAAAGATGGCGATTTAATAGCAGAACTAATAACGAGAAAAGATGGGAGAATACGATTGTTTGAAACTATACTTAAAAACTTATATCAATAGAGTAAGTAGTAGTTTTTGATGTCAATAAACTACATCACGAATTGTAATGTTTCTGTGATTTTTGAACATATCCAATTCATTGTATCTATCTACATAGAATTTACACAGTTTTCGTATCAATAACAGGCCTTCGATATCACGTTTTTGACCATTTATTCCGTGGAATTTGCAATAAAAATTTATGCAGAACCGGTTAACTACTGGAAATCGCTGTCGAATAGGTTCGACTTTTTCGTTCTTCTGATCTCTTACTTCCAGGTAAGCTCTGACATCATTGCTATCTATCATCGTGATTTGCCATTAATTAATAATTCAATTGTCATACATACTTATATACCACATGCCTGCATTAAACTGTCATGACTGTTTTTTTGTGTTTAGATAAGTACGGCATTGGCGTTGTATCGGTATACAATTTGTGATGACTGTACAATATTACATAAATCATCTCCCCGCGCTTTTTATTACGTTGGCCAATCAAAATAAAATTACTCAATGACGAATGTCGAATCACATCGTAATATCTTCACTCGCCTTTACCTGTTCTCTTGTGACTGCTCGGGGTGTAAATATTTTCATGTTCAGGTATTAATGGATGAAATACAAATTGAAACTGCGGGTGATACTGCTAGTTGGGCTGGCGCGTTACCGGTATTACGCACTCTGAAAGCAACAAGAGCTATAAGAGCCATGCGAGCTGTTTCTTTTGTCCGTGGATTGCAGGTAACTTGTACCGTTATAAACTACAGGTATAGCAATGGTGACATGTTAGTTGATTCTGAATACGATATTAGTAGGAATTTCAATAAGCATATATAAAGTTAAAAGTCGGATTAATTAGCAGACGCTAATTATTGAAACGGTACGCAATTTACGAACGAAACACGCACAAGCAAGCTGCCATTAGCAACTGGGAAAGGCATGCGTGTTTTACGTGTGTACACCAATCACCATATAAGGTGCATGTTAAAGAGATTTTCAGGACAACCGTTTAGTTTAGATAAATCTATGTTACAAATTGAATAAAGTTATAACATCCGCACTGAAATGATAGACTACTTTCACAGATCAACATGAATTGCCGATGCCGCATCCTTATACAAATGTGTTGCTATATTTTATCCTAGGTTTTGCTAACCGCCCTCATCGACACTATGAAAAAGTCATTTATCAACGTGATGCTCATTTTATTATTTCTGATGTTCTTGTTTGCAATATTTGGCTATTACATGTTTGGATACAAAGGCGGCGACGAGGCTAATTGGGGAGATCTTGGCTCAGCTTTTCTCACTCTTTTCAGCTTTGTCACGGTGAGTTTGTAATTCTAGCTAATATTATCATACGAATTTTGCTTTCTATAGATTATAGAGCATCCCATAGTATTTTACTATTGCTATTCTATAGGATTATGTCCATCGAAGAACGCAAATTTCAACGACTTTTGTTCATGTTCCTGTATAACAAGATTTTAATAATATATATAATATGAATTGTTCCTAGGTGGACGGTTGGTTCGACGCTCAACTACAGATGGACGAAAAAACTACCGAATATTCGAGAATCTACACAATTTTATTCATCGTAGTCGGCCATTTTCTAATATTCAATATTTTCGTTGGTGTTAACATAATGAACATTCAGGAGGCGAACGAAAGTTACCATGAACAGGTATAGACCCCGAATGCAATGATGCAATGCATCTGATTTTCCCGTACCTGAGTTATTCAAAATAAAAGCAACCGAATCTATTTTAAAGTCCAACAATTTTCAGGTAATTGCCGAAAAGGAAGCGATCCTCGCACGAAAGAAGGAAGCTATTCTTCATAGGCAACATGAAGATGTTAGGTATGTCCATAATTTTCGAGAAACATTTTGCGCCACCCTTTGTACCACGAATTCGTAACCCTGAACTTATCATCAAACCTTGTACATCCTGATTCAAATTATCTGGGAGCACAAAGGTTTATGGTTAGGAATGCAGATTTCACTGGAAATTCAAATTTTTAAATCATTCTTTTAACCCCAACTAGATAATTAATAATTTTTAGTTTAGAAGGTGGCGAGGGTGGTTTTCTTAAATGTTACATTTTGGCAATAGTGGCGGGTGCTTTGTACAAATAAATTATCCCCAGCCTTTTTTTTTGATAAATACTCCCTTTTCCTATTTTGGAACATATTTATCCCACCACTGTGCATAAAAGCTTTCGTTTTTCGATCTTTATTGGATGCTTAGCTACGCGCAAATCGCACTCTGGTTTTTATACAGTTTGAATAGTTTTTGTTGTGTCCATAATACAAATATGTATTACAATAATACTGCTAAACAATATTAGTGAATTCCCTTTTGATTTGGAAGCATTGTTTTATAGTGACCGCAAAAATTTGTTATTCCAATAGGATTAATAAAATTCATTTTAATATTCATGATTCGGATTTAGTTTGCTCTTTGGTCATTAAATACTCTAAATATTCATTGTAAACTTAAGTTAACGGCTTTGTTGATAATCTGTAAATTCATTTACTCCCAAGTCCATGCCTCTGAGACAAATAACTGGCTAACAAATCCCATACCCGACATGGACCAGTAATCAAATTTGAGGCCGTGATTCGCAAAATGATTATGTTGTCTTGTCAGCTTTCTCTCCCTAGGAAAAATATGAAAATCTTACATTATCCATCCATCTCTGTACGAATAGCAAGAGCGAGAGATTTAATGTTCTTCTTTATATACAATGAAAAGACATTCTGCCTTCGCGTTTCTGTAGTGTAGCGGTTATCACGTTCGCCTCACACGCGAAAGGTCCCCGGTTCGATCCCGGGCAGAAACAAGCTTTCACATTTTTCTTACTCAAAATGGTTAATTTGACCTTTTTTCAGAAAATTGAAAGAAAAACAAATCGAAAAAGATTGTGGCAATTTTTACGACATGGTAAAATCTTTTCAAGAAACGTTAAGAAGTGATGATTACACAATTATGGAGGATACAGTTTCTGATCCATCCTGGCTTGAGTTATATCTTGAAACACTGGACCATATGGACATAACTGCTTACAGGTATGGTAAAATATTGTCGGTTCTTGTTAACTGACTGTTTTGCATATCCGCCAAGGCTAGATGGTACAGTAGTATCATAAAAAAATGATGTAAATATTAAATTTCCGCATAATTTTATAGTTAAAACATGTTGCTTGATTTAGGATTATATTTAAAAATGAAATCGTTTATAAAAGTGTTACATGTATTCAAAAGCGTGCGTGGTATAAAAATCGAAAACGTTTGTTTCCGCCCGGGCTCGAACCGGGGACCTTTCGCGTGTTAGGCGAACGTGATAACCACTACACTACGGAAACGTTGAATCTCCCTTAGTCAACTCATGTATATATATCTCGTCTATCGTACATTTTTTTTAAAGTGCTGAAGGATGTTCGCTTTCAGAATTCTTAGTTCTCTCACCAAACTAAATTTGAAGGTAATATAAATTGCACTTATCGAACTTTTACGCCACTAAAAGTTGGATTAATTTACGGATATGTAGATAGACCATGATTATTTGTGTAATGTTTCAAATTTAGGCGCTCCAGAAGTATGTGTACCAATATGAAGTTAGCTAATTTTGTTTGCCTACTTTACATCAGGTTGACTGAAGCCTATGGGGGTTGGTATATTCACTTGGCTAACACAGACAGTCCCCGAATTCCTAATAGAACTAAAATAAGGAAAATCGGAAAAAAATTAAGTCCTAACCCAAACCTGTTACACGTATAATGGGAGTACCCAACTTTAACGCCAAGATATAGTATTGGTTATAAACTTTGTCAAAAATTGAGCGATCATAGTATTGAACTGTATTTCAACATATTATGCTTTGTATTTAATCGTGCACTGATGAGCGTCACACAGTCACGAGACTCTTCCGGTAGTTGCAGTTTAAAAAACATATATTTAATCCAGCATCTCCCAATCGCGGAGGAATCCCTCCCCAGGGAGTAATATTGTTGTTTCCAAGGAGAAAATACAGAAAGTTTACTTTGTATTCATTCAGTGTAGTTCTATTAATTTTGTTTATTATATAGTGTTAATCTAATGTGATAATATTTACGCACACATTATAAACCAGGGATGGCGAACCATTGACCCGCGGGTCAGAAAGTGACCCACCGCGTTTTATTTGTGACCCGCCAAGCGAAGGCACGAAAAAAATAAAAAAAAATGCTAACATATCAATGATAAAAATTGATAAAACCGGCCTTAAATTAATCTAACAATTACTAAACTATTATAATGTACCGTCAGTTGGACAGTCAGGGAGGGCTGCGATCGCGCATGTTCAAAATGTTGATTTTCGGGTCGGTATGGTAATTTTCAGACCCCTAATCTTGTACGCATGTATGCACCGCTGTGTACCGTTATTCAGCTATTGGACCTGACATCGTTTATGAAATAACAATACAGTTGAGGGAGGTTGTTCATTTCTCGCAACGCCTGTCTTTTTTGGAAGTGAATCTGCAGACTCTTTTAGGGGTTATACGGGAAATAGATGCTACTTTGCATTTTATTAGTTTCTCGCCTACAATGCCGTTGTGAAAACAAAAACTTTCAGACTTGAAATATAAATCTAGAAATCTGATATAACAATGGGGCAGTGTAAAAGTCGCCTAATGTGGTTGGAAGCTGATCGAAAATTATAACACTATCAAAGCGGAATTACCTCCAAACACTAGAACCGTAAAATAATTTAACGCATCATCCTAAACGTTCTTGGTAATTTATATGCGTTTTTTTCGTACTCCAATATCATAAAACCGAGTGCCAAAAAAAGTCCCTGATAGAAGTGCTGCATAGATAAAGCCCAAAACTACACCAACACCAGCTTATAAGATTCGTTTCAGAAGTTTCTTATAGATACAAACGTGAATTAAATATCTGTGACCCACTCTCTTCTGTTCCGCGATAAAATTATAATTTTTGACCCATTCATTGAAAAAGGTTCGCCATACCTGTTATAAACTAACTATTCAAACTATGCAAAAGCATGAGTGTGAATTGCGCCCAACACAAGCTAATGATCCTTTAAGATTAAACAAATAACCAAACAGAGTTTTATGCATAGCGAGTAATAAAGAGATTCGAAATAGGAAAAGGGGTGAACGTATTTATAATGGGCGGAAACCACTGATTTAATGGAAATCTTTTGATCCACAGGCTGCAGAACTTACACTACGAAATGGCTCACATTCTGTCGCAACTTATGAGCAGAGAAATATCAAAAAGATTAGGCGAATAAGTCGAATTTACTCTTGCTTCACAGTCATCAATTCAAAATAAAATGAATTTGTATTGCTGTGGCGTGTTCTCGATTTTATTTGTGACTTAGAACTTAAATCCAAGATAGGTATAATTATGACTTATCAATGAACGATTCCGGATCTTGTCTTGTGTGGAGTTGACGTTTGACCAAAAACCGGCGTTCGGTAGTAGTTGTTGAAGCCCGAATCGGCAGCCAAGTCTAGTCTCACTGGCGGTTATTTGGTGGCGAGCCCTAATCATTCCAAATGGTAAATCACAACTCGAATCGGGTCAATAAGCCGAGCCTCCCCAACATTGCTAAAAGCGCATCGTGAATGAATTTAATTTTATTAAAATAAAATAAATATCATAATATTTACAACGTTACGATTTATTTCCTATTTTACCAAGCATGCGGGCGCACCAGACGTCTTATATGCATACTATTATAATATCCTTCCAACATTTGTGGAGCATATTTGGGATATTGAGCATATTCTTTAAACATCAGTTGTTTAGAGGTCGGGGCAGGGACATCTGGGACAACGGCGTCAATTCTAGCCTCAATGTGCAAGACACTTTCACGTTTCCGTCCATATACTGCCTGGGTGGTTTTTGCATTTGACCTGGGTGCACCGTCCCATTCGGATACTCTCATTGTGTCCGAACGACCTGTTTGCATTGGATATAGAGGAGTTTTTATTAAGTTGGATAATGAAATTGGTGGTTTGTTTCATCATCTGTAATATTTTTAATGTAAATTCTACAATATTACGATATATTCAAATATTTTAGCTTTTTATACAATAAGATATATATTAATCGGATCTTGTCAGTTATGTGACCAAACCATACGCACTATATTAATGCAAAGTTGATGAGTAATAAATTTTGTCAGATATACATCGAAAGAGAATCTCCCACAATTCAGATGAAGCTTCCGTCCTTAAAATTTATTACAGCTATATTTGGAGTAAATATGCAATTTGAAAATGTATTGATAAGCTGACTGCGTGATAAATATTATATTTATATATATATCTTACCTGTAAGTGGTTTCAGTGCATGCCTGTTCAAGTCTTTGACTGGTAAATAGGGATAAACCGGACCGTCTGTGTATTTTTCGCCTCTCATTATCGCAGAAATTGAACCTGGATATATGCAACACGTTTTAATTCTCAGCTGGATATGTAAAGATACTGACCGGCTACACCATAAGATTGAATGTCGTTTTCACCTTGGTGACAATTTATATCAAAATCCCATCAAGTGTCAAGGAATAATCTTAATTTAGAAATTTGTATCCGAACTAGTATTTTATTAATATCTCTGGCATGGGGTACTGTATTTCAATATAGGATAGCTTTAGAATCTACTCCGAATCGCCTATCATGGCTGAAGAAAATCACAATGGAGTTCGACTCACCTTTAGGAAAAAATTTTACTCAGGGAAAATTAGATCACGATTACAAACACATTCAATGGAGTATGAAAAATGCTTAGTAAATTCGATGCCTTTCTGAAGTAAATGTTGCTTTTATTATGATTAATGGAAGTATGAAATGTTTGGCAGATGGAAAAGGGTTTGTGATTTGCCATCATTTGATGATCGAATGCGCCATGAATACATTTTGGTGATGGTTCACTGAACACGTCATAGAATATTATTTCGAGGATGTTCTTTTCTGACGTTCGTCATTTGCCAAATTTCCATCCAAGTGTGCAGAGACAAAAAATTGTACGCAAGGTTTGCAAAAGGCGCATGACCTATGCAACATATTGTACATAGTTATTATAGTAGGATCATATGGTTGCAATATCCATTCTAGTGAGGACATGGCAATTCCAGCAAGGACATGTTAGAGACTTGGAGACTAATTTTAGTATGGATATTGCGCCATATGCATTTTAGTGGATGCATTAAATATGGACATAGCCGTTTTATATTTACCCATGAACAATGCCACTCCTTGTGCAGTAGATTTTTCTATAAACAGAGGATCGGTACGCACATTTATCCCATGTATAAAAACCGGCAAATAAGCGCGGTTGGCGCGGCCTACTCTCGAACAAAACTATCATGAATGGTGCACTTACCTTTAAGGTGTGGCTGCTTTTTGTTTGCCTGGGGCTTTATTACAGCATTTGTGATTTTTGTTGCGCGATCTGCTGTGAGTCGAGCATTTCTCGGTATGCAAGGAAATAATCGAGTCTAAAATATGAAAAAAACGAAAATGTGGAACTTGGTATTGGATATAACACAAATATCTTTAATAAAAAGGACATTGGAATTTAAAAAAGGTCAACAAATTGTGATTACGTGACAGCTCTGTCCTAGAATGGGGGAACCCCGCCAAACAAGAGCGTATGTCATTTTGACATAGACAAAAGTTCAAGTGTTAAATAATTTTCTTTATTTAAAAATAATTTAGAAATTTATGGTTTCTGATTTTTTTGTAGACCACCCTGTATATTCTGCTGGGATCCATATTGGTTATTTTATACGACTTTGAAAAATATCTGCAAACCTCAATTCTTTCCCCCTCTTTCGGGATCTCAGGGACAATACCCTCGGCGGCTTTTCCAGTATCTTTGAATACTCTCGTTTTTTCGGCACTCTGTCAATTGAAAAACGTCATGAACCTTAGTTTAAACAGCAATGAATAATGCCAATAGGCCGAATGACTTTCAGATTTGGAAAAATTATCGCTAGGAACATCGTTGTTTAATACTGGAAATAGAGACTTTATACAACTTTTTCTATATCACCCATTACCGTTAATTTTTTGCCTCGATATGTGCGATGTGTATTGGAGATGAGTGGCGAATCCGCTGATTTTCGATTCAAATCATCCATCGTCATCCGTGTCCTCACTACAGGAACTGACTAAAATGAAAAACAGTATTGCAGTAAACATTGTACTTTTTAATCTGCTGCCTGTGCACGATGTGGCGGGATTATTAATGTATCTATCATTAAGATTCGTCAATAATCGGAATACCTATTTAATTTATGATGGTATACTGTCTAATGCTATAAACTTATATTCTAAAATGATTACCTTGTTCGTTACTAAATTCATATGGTATGTACTTCGGGGATGTGGCTTGTTTAATCGATTAATAGAGGTCGGTCTCAGCCTACGAACTGAAATAGCCTTGGGTACAAAATCGGAGCTGTACATACTGGTATAGCGATTGGCTGCAGGTGCCGTCTGCACTGTTTTTCTGAAACATAGAAATTTTGAGTTATTGACTGAAGGTAAAACAGTCTCGAAGAGCTAGGTCATTTGTAGTAGTCGTTTTAGGCAGGGGAATAACCAACTTATTGAAGTCTCATTTTCTCGAATACCGGGGAGGAATTCGCCGAAGTTGAGTATAGTGATACATGTTCGTTCATTGTGGGTTTTTAGGCATTTACTGAACATGTACGTCAGAAATTGAAGAACGAAAAATTCGCATTTTCATTTTTGCCATTTTAGTTCCAATATAACATAAATCAGCCACAGGTATCGTAATTCGGAATCACATGCAGGCCATGTGTTATATTCTATAAATGCGAGGAGGGGATCAGAACATCAAGGTTTCGAATGAGTTGCATCGTTCTGAATAATCATTCAAAATATACATCATAGATTTTCAATTATTTTTTCAATGTATATTGATGACCAATCGCAGGTATCGTGATGCGGAATCAAATGCAGGCCATGTATTTTATTCCATAAATGCGAGAAGGGGATGCAGAACATCAAGATTTCGATTGAGTCACCTCGTTCTAAATAACCATTCAAAATGTGCATCAATGTTTTTAATTATTATTTATCGCACACTGATGGCCAATAAAACTTTTCATTTGAGCCATTTAAATTGTTACAATCAATTGGACGTAAATAGGCGTTTGTAACTAAATACTTCATTTACACTCTTTGCAATTATGTTATTATCTTCCTATTGTTGTTTTTGTAGACGAAGCGTCATAAAAATTCTTACACGTGTGTAGGCGTGTTTACTCCATTTACCTGATATCAGTACACACTAGCCTTGTTCGGGCGAAAGCACTAATTAACGTCAATATACAAAAAAAATCAATACGAAATAAAAAGTGGTCCTCTTCAGTCAAAATAAAACATCAAAATTATTGATTCAATATCGGGGCCTATAGGTGTCATATATAATGATAACCTTTTGACGACTTCTACCATCATTGAGTATTGAAAATTTGTAATTGACCGGTTCATTAGTAGCAATTTTTTTTACAATAATAAACCCAACAAAAATCTAAAAAATTTAGCAAAATGATACATGTATACACTTCGTGTCAAATAAAACATCGTAAATACATGGGAATCTATAAAATATTTGGGTACTGCCGTAGTATGTGTACCAGGTTAGGGTTAGGCCATAATTTTATTACGATTTACCTTATTTTAGTTCTATTACGAGTTCGGGGAATGTCTGTAATGGCTAAGTGAATATACCCCTGCCTAAGGCTTCAGTCCTTTTACACAACTTGATGTGAAGTGGGCGAACAGAATTAGATACCTCCATATTGGTACACATACTTCTGGAGCGCCAATTTTTGTGGGTAATCATCTATCACGGTGTTTCCGAAACTTTTTCGGTCGTGGACTATTTCCACACCAGGGAAAATCTTCGCGGACTCAGCGTGAGTTAACTGTAAAACCGAACTCTGTGTGGAGGATCAATAAAATCAAAAACAATACAATTTTAACGAGGTCACTTTATAATCTATATTTACAAAATTCAATGGAAACCATAGCGTGGGTGCTTCATCGTTGAGACATCGAGAACTGCTCGAACAAACTCGAAAGATATTTTATATCGAAAAATTTCCAAATAAATGCATTCTGAATTTTGTCCTTACCGCTTTCGTAATATTAGAAAATCAACAAAATCTTTATGGCTGGTTTCTGAAATCGCTGTTATTTTCTGTTTGTATTTTTCTTTTTCTTTTAATAAAAACATCACAATATATAGACACCATATCACATTATACATTTATATAGACACAATATTAATTGCATTTCAAAAAAACGAGCACATAATAGTTTTCCACTTCTTCTTATGGGTTGACAGTTTTCCATTTTTAGTTGCAATAGTCTTTTCACAGTTTAGTATATTTTTTATCATATATAAAAATTGGCAAAATTAAGGCCTTTCATTACGCAGTTTACATTTGTATATAAAATATCCAGCACACAATGAAATACAATTTATACCCTGGTTTTTCCCTACCCCCAATAACATTTCTTTATGTGTCAAATTAAGGTTTAATCTATACTCAACGTTAGCCAAGAGTTCACTATTTCCCAAAATTGCTGCACAATATGACAGAGATAAAAAAAATGTAACACAGTTTGTAACAACTTGCATATTACAAAATGTACATTTTGGACTTTGTGTTTTATTTATTCTATATAGCAGGTCATTAGTGGGCACTGCTCGCAAAACAAATTTGACATGGAACGAACGAAGTCTTGATTCAATAGAGCAATAAAAAAAATTTTCATACAATGTCAACCAATTATCTAAGTTCCTACACAATTCTGCTGACCATTTTTCTAGTTTCCCAGCAGTTGGCGGCAAAATTTTTAGTGGGCACTGCTCGCAAAACAAATTTGACATGGAATGAACGAAGTCTGGATTCAATAGAGCAATAAAAAACTTTTTCATACAATGTCAACCAATTATCTAAGTTCCTACACAATTCCGCTGACCATTTTTCTAGTTTCCCAGTTGGCGGCAGAATTTTTACATTACAAAGCTTATCATATATGTATCGAGAGGTTTTATTAATGCTTTTAATATCTTCGATCAGACTAAGATGTGGATTGACTTGTGAGATTTTTGATAAATTAGTTTTCCATTCCTGGAGTATACATGATATAATTTTTAAATACGCTAGCATGTCATCATAAAAAATAGAAAAACAATATTGATGAAAGATATACGGAAGCATTGCAATTTGCTGTTTAGAATCACAAATATCTTCAACGAAACAAATATTTTTACTATTCCAATCATCCATATATAAAAGTTGTCCTTGACAAGATATATTTCTATTGAACCACACGGGTTCATGTAAATGACTTGCATCCCTAATAACCTTGAATTTGAAAATAAACCAATAGTACAGAGTATCTCTCAAACATCTGGAATAAATATTTTTGATATATATACACTCCATGCGGATATACATTTCCATAAAATGAAGCTATTCCTCCCTACAAATTTAAGAAAAAAATCTCTATGGACTTCCATGAACATCAATTTTGTCATTTATTAATAATTTAATTTAACATTTATAAAAAATGTTTGTATTTTTCTATCAAGTCTATGTTTTTTTTGCCCCGAAACAAGTCCTCCGAAATGAGAATTCACCTACTGGTATTTCATATTCAAATTAATATATCCGCTCGGAAAATTTTGAAATGTTACTTTTATGTTATTTGTATTGGTGATTCGAATTTTACCAGATGGCCAACTGAAGAGATGTGAAAGTCATGCGATATTTGCGCACAATAGGATCATTTAAAATTGGAGCAATGGCGTTACACGAAACAAATAGATAAAAAAAAATAAAACAATTTTAAAGTAAGCGAAAATTACGTGTAAACTCGTTTTTTTGTCAGAAATTCGCGAGTCCGTTGTGCAATCCAATCGTTTGATTCAGCACGATTGACGTGCTATGTCCAAGTCACATGTTACCAGGTATTCTAATAGTTTGCTTTTCGAATATTTTGTGCTTTTCGAATATTTTGCCCAGCACTGCTCAGTCTGTAATCGGCAAGTATTGACTCGATAAAAATGTATGTGAATAACTTGCCTTATGTTTTATGTAAATACGAACGTAAATCGTAACTTGGCTGGTATGGCTGGTACTTAAGTCTGGTAAAAACGTTTTTTCCCAGCAATGAATTTCGCAACACTGAAAAGGTGAGTGACCTACATGAAATATACTACCACATAACTTTTAATTTGGTCGTTGCGGACTCATTCAAACGCTCTGCGGACACATTTGAGACCGCGGATTCGGGTTGGGAAACACTGAATTCTATCACAATTTGTCAAATTATTGCAATGTTTCTGTAAAAACTATTACGTTTCGGGGTTGCAATCATCATACAGAGTGCTCCAATCACAAGCAAAATTATTCATCTACAACGTGTGAATTCGGATGAACAAACAAACATTATCTTAAATAGGCTGTTTAATTAGGACAGACGCAGTTGATAAGCAACGCTCTTTCGCCATGTTGTGAACTTCATTTATGTCGCTTCAGTAAATATTTGTATTTGTGTAAACCAACTCAAGCATACAGGGTGATTCTTAATAAATTAGGTATCTAACACATTGTACTTAAAATCAGTAGAACAAGGAAATACCTTCCATTTAACAAGTTGAACTGCTTAGGTGGTTTATAGTTATATTTTGATTATACCCCTAAGTTTTGTCACTGGGATGGACGGTTCATGATTCGCTGTCTTTTTTTTTGTGATTCATTATAGGAGAGGTGGCCAACACGTCGGTCGATCGCCACGTCTCCAGTAGTCGATCGCGTCTGATGTTGAGTGAATTTGATAACAAATCCCAAAAACTTGCCTTGAACCAGTTTCGTGCAACGCAGTTTGAAGAAGAAATACAGTAATATACATACGCAAAATACGATACATGCATACAGTATCTGAGCCTGGGCAAGCACGAGAAAGCATATGCCGAGGTTTAAAAATGAACGTGTCGAATATCGTGTTTTTTGACTAAGAAACGATCCTACAATAACTTCTGCAGTATGCAAAACTTATTGTCTAACTTCAAGAGTAGTGTAATAAATTGTATTCGCAAGAAGACATTTACACCCAACATGCCCAATTTTTCTAATTCCTGGCGAGCGAGGAATCGGACTCGGAGGAAATTGTAAATTAAATACTGAGGTTTGAGCAGTCATGTAACATTTATGGTTTGCAAATATTTATTTTTCGCTGTTCAGATAATATGGATACTTGGCAAGTTTTTTTTGAGAAATTTTTAACTAATAAATGATGAAAATTTACTCCGGGTACAATTACATAATCAAACTAACAAATAAACGGAACACAAAAAATAGAAACTTTTGTGACAATTTCCTTAAAAATGCACCCACAGAGCCGAGCTTATAGGCAGCGGCGAACTTTTATTTGTATGTGTGTGTGCAGTTATCTGCATATTCAGTACTCAATTGTTTTTGTGTATGAACTTATTACCTATCAGCCGATCGCAAGATATTTTGAAGATTTTAGTCGATCGCGACCAAAAGCAGGTTGGCCACCCCTGCACTATAGTATTAATATTAATCGAAATATTGTTTTTATCAACATTGAATTGTGGGACGTTTCAGTATTTGGCCACGTATCTCACTCAGGACTTGGCCACTCATCGAGTCATAACACTTTGACAAGCAATAACATACCACTAATTAGAAAATGTCTGTCGGTAAATCGCATCCCACTCAGCAGGACAAAACCATTGATATTTTGCGTATATTTTACTCACCCCTTTTCAGTGTCCGAAAATGGATATACATAAGGTCGCTCTTGCCAGTGTAGTATGTTGTCCGACCATCTTCTGTAATCTATTTCAATTTCTTCATCATTACAGTTCACAGGTGGAAGCGTGGTAGCTTCCTCTTCCATAATTGATTTTTCTACTTTGTTAATAGCTACAGGGGTGACAATTATATGCAATCATTTGGCTGAATATATTAGTCCTAAAAATAAGAGTAGTTTTAGCATAAGTGGTTTTGTCACAAAGCACGTTCGTGTGGACAACTCATCCTAACCTACTTAAATAATTTTAATTTCTGAGCAACACCGTCAAATATCAGCTATAATATGCATGTCTACGCCAGTTACATGTTTTCATCGAACTTTCTTCCCATACTTGGATAAATATCATGCCTACTTGCGGCTACATCTGTCCTTAGAAATCAAATCGACAATGTATCATATACATCCGACAGCCACCAATCAATACTCGATTGTTTGCTTTCAATCTTATCATATACTTCAACGACAGTGCTCGATGCAAATACAGAAGTCACGTGATTTCGTTAATTTATTATTCGACTTTTCGAATTGTATCTAACTATCAAATGTAATATGCAAGCTTGCTGTAATTCGTAATGAGATCACACAAACGGATTTTTTGAACAAATGGAAGTATTAGTATTGCTCTGGTTTATTTGCGGTTTGTTCCGTTTAGTCATATTGGTTTCATTTGCGACAATGTTTACAACGAATAACGCTTAATCTGCCTCCGCTTACTGTAAGTAAATCTACCCAGATTTGTTTAGGTCATTTCTTGCTGATCATAAGAATTTCTAGCCAGAAAATAGTACCGAATGATATTTCCACCTAAGCATCTTAATATCAGTTTTTACCAACCAGTTTGGTTGCACAATGGAACGCTACTTTTAAACTAAAATAAGTTATTGGCAATAAAATTGGCGTGCACGTTCTTTTTAAAACATGCTGATTTCGAACTTGTGCCTAATTATTTATGCTAAAGAATTTATATTGTCCAGAAATATAAATTATATATTAACAGAGCTGAATAAACTGATTGTGAATTACTGAATATTAGATATATAATGTTGTTCTCCATAAGCTGTTCTCGATCTTCAACAACGCTTGGTTCATCTTACCGCTACAAAAATATTTAGTTATATATATACTAACTACTAAAATCAGTAAATTTTACGTCAATTGCACTATTAAAACATTTATAAACGTAGTGCTTTAGCGTAACATAAACCTAAATCAACCACGTGACTTAAATATGGTAATATTTGGCAAGTTGTGCTAATAAAGCATTCTTGGCTAACAATATCCTATCTCATTTTAATTTTTGCGTTCGCTAAAAACGATAGGTTCATTTTTAATAGCACCAGTCATTTAGAAGATATTGTAACAAAAGTCGTGATTCTTGGAAGATAATATAGTCCCGTAGGTCACTCGGCGCGTTGATATACTTCTCATGTCAAATATAATAGAGAAGAATCATGAATAAAATGGGCTAAATTCATTTTTTATAACTATCTTATCCGTGGCCATACATAAAAGAGTGATGATATTAAGTATATTTGACATAGCATAGAAAGCCTTGTTAGTAGAGGGTACAATTAAAAGTCTTCGGAGGGCAGACAATTATAAATATTATAATGGATCGTTCACGGGTGTTTGCTTCTGTACGGTATCACCTGGGCATTTAATTCGAACGCGTCATTCAATCTTTTAAAATCCCTTTTAATTCTTGTTTGGATTAAGCTTCCGCCAGAAGTACATTGTTCAAGAAGGTTTGCTCACTATATTTCAAATATTTTATAGTGTTAATTTCAAGAGTTGCGAAAGAAAGAAGAAATACCTTTGGTTACGGCAGTCGCCTCGGTGGCGGTTTTTAACTTCTATGGTGCAGGTGTCTGTGACCTTTAATAAATCAAATTCAAATATTTGACAAAGTGTATTGGGGGCATATAACTGAGCCAAATTCAAAGTCACCAAAATTGTCCCTTATTCTTGAATTTAGTATGCCAAAAATTTGATTTGCGGAGTCTGTGCTATTTATCCTATCATCTCTTTTAATTGTCACAAAGCAATGATCATTACATGTTTATTATTATTATTTTCTAATGATGATAAATTTCTCACTTCAGCATAGTGTATACCAGATGAATTGTATTTCGCTATCTTAGAGACAAAGCGATGGTTTACAGCGATGGGGAAGCATATATTAAAGTGCTAAGCTTGCTATACGAAGAGTGTTGATGGTGCATCGCGTTTTTGGATAAATAATGTCCTTTACCGTGTTTTCTCGAAAATAAAACCCAAGCCTGAAAATAAGACCTAGCCTGAAAAAAAGGCCTAGCCTGAATTTTAAAAATGATTGTAATATAAGCCATCCATTTAAACTAAGACCTAGTCGAAATTATTTTTGACCTAGTCGATAGCAAGAAAATTTAGTTAAATGAAAGGTTCATTGAAATTTATGAATCTAATGACTTGCCAGACATTCCAGAGGATTGTGATATGGTCATTTAAGAATAATCTATGTTTATCATTTTTTTTTTTCAATAAAAACGTCTTATTTATAAGTAAATTGAAAACGGTTTTCATATTATGTATATTTGAAGATATCGTTATTCTCCACATAGTAATTTTGTTTTTAATAAATAAAAATAAAAGACATCCCTTGAAAATGGTATTTTTCGAAAGAAAATTGAAATAAGACATTGTCTTATTTTCGGGGGAACACGTTACTTGTTTTCATGAAAGCCATGATTGAATACGTGTATCATGTTCACAGCTATAAGCGTGAACCAAACAATTGTAGATATTTCATTCAAATATCAGAAAAATATTCCAGTTTCAAATGCGCCTTTACCTTAGTGGAATTCCATTAAGCTTAAAAGTTCTTTGAATGATGATGATGATATTGAAAATGATTTTTTGAATAATTGCAGTCTCCTTTATTAAAGACTCCTATACTCATTTTGTATAGAAAACACAATCTTAATTATGGAAATTTTCGTGTCAATAATCGCATCGCATCAATTTTAAATTGATTGAAAATTGAAAGAATTGAATTTTTTTATATATATTTATACGTGAACTTGTATATATATATACGTGTGACGTATTCAAAATTTACTTCGAAGGGCGAAAAAGTATCTTAAGGAAATGGGTTTCTACTGATGACCGATTTTTCTGTCGTTTCTTATATATATGATGGATGAGACGATCTGTAACATAATCCAACTCTAACAAATAAAAGGTTGGTAATGAGATTTTGATTTTGTGGGAAAGCGACACAAGTATATATTTGATATATAGTTTGCATAGAAACTTGATATCCGGTGTGCTGGTAAAAATTTCATTCGATTGATATTTTGTAAAATTTGGAGGGAACGGCAATTGTCTTTTAATTTAGTAAAAGTTCCTAATCTGAGACGTATTCACAAACGCTAGTTTGGTGGAAAAATATGTATATATGTACATTATATGAATGTTGGATGACGAAAAACATTTAAATCGGAATAATAGACATTTGGGAATTCTACTTTTGACTCAAGGTTGTACAAATTTCGATTCGGATACTAATTTTAAGGACCTCGGTTTGTATAAAACTTCGTCTCGTCTTCTGATTCCAGTAGCCAAACGCAAAACTCTACATTGCTATTAGCCGCATCCGCACGATGTCGTCATTGATCTGTATTTGTTCCATTTTCAATGATCGGAAACAGGTCACTCGGGTCTTTGGATTGTGTAACGACAATGCCGTGTATTTAACTGTAAAATGGATTAATTAGAATATCAATATAGGTAAGGCGAGTTCATGAACTGACGAATGCATTTAGGCCTCTTATAGCTCTTCATCATTCTCAACAATAAGCGAATGATTCATCTCTAAAGCACATACCTTTTTTCTGGTACATTTTTTTTATCTTATAAAAACAACTTAAATATAAATATCTACATGCCAATGACTTCATCGGAGATGTTGCACAGTTTTAGGCAAGGTAGTGACATTTAAGTTTTAATGAATGGTATGTTTTCCTTTTCGTCCTAATCATTATGACCGATGATGTGTGAAATTTTTGCGACGATTAATGTAAGACAATATCATGCATTGACATCAGTTTGCAAAGAATGAGATACAACATAAATTATCTCTTCGCCGAACTCTGTTGAATTACATATGCCAAATAACAGTTTTTAAAATGGTAATTATCAAATTAGATAATCTCGAGACGCTTTTCTGCCCAAATTACAATTTTTACGTCACGAAATGCGTAGCTATGTTTATGTGGTTTCCGAAAAATTAGTTTGTACAGGTCAATTAAATCACGCTCTAGAAATATTTTTATCATCTATAAAGTCACGTTATTTTTTGTCTGGTTGTTTCAAAATAATAATTTAAGCTGTGGAAGGTCCGATGGTTCGTCGATTAAAACAGTGGATCAGCAGCCATGATTTCATTTTCATTGTTGAAGGGAATATTAAGAGTTGCCTAAATATGGAAAAGCTAATGGTAGCTCTTTATAAATAGGCAAATCTCCAGTCAATAACTATTTTTCGTAGTACACATCTCTTATAACTGAAATATCATCTTTTCTTTTAATGTTCCATTTATACAATTTCTATTGATAGTTGGTTATTAATACTTGGAAAGCTGACAGTAAAATGACACGAAATACCTAATTAAGCTACCAAACGCATGCAATTGTTGACTATATTCAATACAACCGTATGCGCTCTGCAATATAACTATTACTAACATTACATAGTAATTAGAATACTGTGACGTTGCATATTCATCTACATACAGTTGATGTATGAGGTGACCGTACATTTGAACCCATGTGTATATCCGCAGGTTCAATCCATATGCGTGTGCTAAAACCCATGGGTTAGGGTTAGTATGGGTTCAAATATCCAAAAAACAAAAAAGAATTCCATAGGTGCAAGGGTATGCAGGTGCAATTGTCGTGGGTTCAAATGTAATGGAACCGATGTATAACATCAAAAATGTTCACCACACTGATCTTTCACAGGTCAGCATGTCCATTTTTGGAGATCGACCTGTAACCGCTTTGGCTAATGGTACGTTGCTGAGGCAATAGTTTTCTATCATGTAGTTCTAAAACGTAAAACGTTCATCACCCAATAGTTTTAAATGTGTTTAAACGATACTCATTGTACTCATT